ATTCTATCGTTAATGCATGAGAAGGATTTTTTAGTATGGAGTGATGATATTCGATGGTACATAGAACATGACTTGGCTTCAACTTAAATTTTTATGGTATGAAGTAAGCCTCTGTTTTTATAGCAATTATTAATTCCGGTCACCAACTGTGTTCAGAGAATAATAACCACGCGCCACGTCACATAAAACACGGTATTGAGCACTCCGTATAGATTCAGATGCGTTCGGATTTCACCAGATATAATAATTGCTCCTGTTTTTAACATTGGTTGGGTATTCATGGGCAAATTACAATTTTTGAGACGAAAGACAAATAAGAAGTCAGGTTTACATATTTTTTGATCTTTCACTTAAACTGTTATTTATGTCGTACGATGATACTAAATTAAATTTATAATCGGTTTCTAAAAGAAATTTGCTTTTTAATTACTACCATTTTTTTTACTGTGATGCTGTAGCAAATTTTAAATTGACATTATTAAAAGTGTTCCATAAATATATTTCGTGTTGGGCTAGTCTTGCTTCATAAGTCCTATTGCAAGTCATGATCATAGCTAATTTTGATCTGTTGGTTTGAAGTTTTTGTTACCAATCAAAAGTTATTGTGTTCGAGTAGGGAGGATTCAGCTTCTTTTTTCAGGGTGGACAGAAAAAAATTTTTTTGTGGAGGATAGACAAAGACGTTTAGGATTAATAAAATTAGGGAAAAATTTTTTTTTTGAGAGGGGGTAAAATACCCAAAATATTTTAAAATATTCCATCTAAAATAATCAAAATTGTGCACTGGTAAAGGCCATTTCTTTTAGTTTCTCATTAAGCGAATCCCTTTACTAAAGACCTATTTGAGGCTGATTTTTCGTAGTTTTATTTTTCATATGGTACGTCGCAGTGCTTGGCTATGCAAAGTTGTTAGACTCATTAGACAATGGCACTCTACTTGTATTTAATATTATCTATGTTGTAGGATCTTGGATAGAGCTTAAGCTTCTTGAAAGAGAGAGAGAAGGGTATGGAAGAATGGGAGGTATAGCAAAAAAACTGAACAAAAATCTTTATTGATTGGCTTGTCCCCTATTATAGACTATAGCACATTAGCACCTATTTTATAGGCTCCAAATGGCTATACAAAGATGCACAGCACACCAAAGACAATAGAAAACTATATAAGAACCTAAAGAAAGTACAATGGAAAGCTACCTAAAATCTAGACCAATATCCTAACATGATAATTAAGAAAAAATTAATTTGACTTGCAGAACTATGTTCAGCAGATTTTTTTTGTAGTTGAACTTCTGGCTCGAGCTAGAGCACTAGCTATCTTCATATATTTTGATAAGCGTATTAGCGACAAGTTCTCATCTTTAGATAGCATTGTTGATCTTACAAAATAATTTATTAAAGTTAAGAAAGATGTTGTGAATCTTTTACTTTACAAGTTATTATTTTAGCAATAACTTTTTAGTTGTTACTGCAATTGTGGCGAGACCATTAATCATAATGAAAATTGTTAAACAACGGTTACACAATAAAACGTGTGATAATTTATTCATTGATGTCTAGTGTCATATGTTAAGAATGAAGTATCTGATTTGATTTTAAATAAAATTGTAATGCAATATTATCAAAAAATACAAAATAGAATGCAAAGCTTATAATGTTTTTAATTTTGTCATATATATATATATATATATATATATATATATATTGATTCTTTGTTATTTTTTATTTTTTAACCAGTAGACGTCTAGCGAAGTCTGATAACCGGTAAAAGTCCGGCGTCGGGTAGAAACTTAGCGAAACGTGAAGGTTCGACGTCGGGTAGAAGTCCGACGTCTGTTGTTGACAAAGGAGAACTCCGGCTTCCCTTGGGCGGAGTTTCAGAGTTAGAAGGGAATTCTGTTGCAAATTGGGAAGAATTTCAACATCACGTGGAAGTTGTGCAAATTCCCGGCGTTTCCTGAAAATCCGGCAGAGTTCCGGCGTCTTCAGGCGGCAGGAAGAGCTCCGGCGGTGGTCGAGGAGGTGAGGAATCTCCTTTTCCCCTTTCTCCTTCTCCTTCTCTTCTTCTTCTCTCTCTTCCCTCTCCTCTTATCTGATTGCGTGCCGGATTTTCGTACAACGCTAAGACGATAAACTTTATATTTCTCTACCGCCACGAATACTCCTGGACGCAACAAACCATATTGAGTTCTTATATTTTTTTAAGCAACTACCTCTATATGCAACTCAATTTAGTATATTGGTTGGGAGCTTTGATTATCAATTAAAATGTCTTAGGTTTAAATCTTGAGCATGTGATGTGTGTATGAATTTATTTTAATTAATGTAAATGTTTAAAAAAAAAAAAGCAGCTGGCTTTATCTCCTCAATTCTTAACTCTCTTGCTGTCTCTCTCATGCAAGCGCACAAATGCTTTATACTCTCATTAATTTGCAAGATTTGGCAAGGGAAATTTAATTTGGCGTTAAAATTTTAATTATAAATTTTCTATTTTTGGATGGCCTGACTTAAAAGGAGAGCTGAATAATGTTGATAAACTTATGAAACATGTCGTCACTAAAGCTCAATCGCAGCTTTTTCATCTTGAAAAATGTGTTGTTATTGCTACTTTACCCAAACAGAAGTTGTTCTTGTTATCACTTGCTTTAACTGTGGCCTCTTCCTTCAAACTATCAAAATTTTATCGCTTTTGGCTCTCCATTCCTATTGAGTATATTAATTTTGAAGTGCTTGAACACATCAGTAGCCACATCAAGAACAGTTTTATTAACACTGTTTATATTTCTTCACTATTTTGTCCAATCTCTACCATCTCTGGAGTGAAAGCAACGACGAAATTCACAAAAATCACTTGTATGGTATGAGCAGCACTATCATTCACAAAATTAAACTCCAGTTCGATCTTAAAATCAGGAATTGGAATTGACCTCATGGTATGTCAGAGGATCTTGCTATTTTCGTAGATGCTGTAATTAGCTCTTTAATTTGATTTCCTTTTGTACTTATGTTGAACTTTTGAGTTCTTTATATGATATAATATGATATGGATGAATTATTCTCTGCAGACGCCGAATGTCATTTAGAGCCCAATGACAATGCGCTCGGTATTGCTCAGTACGGGATGATGTGACTGCACCTGATTCGCTTCTGGACGGTAAGTTGTGTTCGGTGTCCACACAGAATAATTTTTCATTTATGTAACATAAGAGCAAAACTCTATTGTTTTATAAATTTATCACATCCTTTGGAAGAGGCTTGAAGTTAATGTGATAGCTTTGTTGGGGCATTCTCCTCTTTGTATCAAAGTGTGAATGGAACAATAAAGATATCAACATTTTCACCTGAGTGTGTTCTAAGTTTTCTGAACTTGGCAAGTTGTTCAGAAACTTATATAGCTTGTTTCTTGAATCCTTTTTTTTGCATTTGCTGAAACTATCAGACTGCAGCACTTGTTTTCTTCTACAGATCAAAAGTGCAAAATAGCTTGGAATAGCACCAATACTAAGCACATATCCAATGACTATGTTGTAATCTGCTGCTTTACCCGTTGATTTATCTCTGCAAAATGTTTTTTGGACTAAGGAACAGAATCTCATTAGTAGCCACTGATTGATGGATGGATGATAAGTGTTCTCGTACTGTAGTCAGCGATAGGTTAAATTATTGTATTGTTTGTCTGTTTCTTCCTGCAAGAATAAGAGTGGAGATATTATTGGAAAACACGGGACATTCTGGTCAATTAATTCAATTTCATACGCACATCATAAATACAAGAGTCGAATTCATGACCTCATAGTTGATAGTCAAAGTTAGAAGTGTAAGAAAGCCGAGCTGGCCCGAGCTCACGTGCCGGGCTTATCGAGCTTTATGCTCGAGCTCAAGCAGAATTTTGATATCATTGGATTATTGAGCTTAAGTTCGAGCTCAATTTTTAAGCTCAACTCGAGTTCGAGCTCAAGATTTAACTTGCGAGTTGAGCTCGAGTTATGCTTGATTTGAGCTCGACTCGACTCTTTTGCACCCCTAAGCTGCATGAGGGAAATATTAGATCATTAGAGTGGTGATTATGCGCTCTTCTTCATGGAAGAAAGGACAGTGGAAGTGATTTCTGTAAAATGAAAGGACTTTTGGTAATGGAGGGCATCCTGTACTAATATGAGCTGAAGTGTAATATAAAAAGATATTAAAATTTTTTTATTTAAATTCTGAATATTTTAAAAAATAGAAAAAGAAATTATTCTTAATGATAAGTTCATAAAAAGAAAAAGTTCTTTGATAGAACGTATTAAAATATGTAAATGTCTTAATAATTGATTATTGTCTAATATACAATAATCTTTAGAATTTTATGTACTCATAGATGAAAAATATGTATTAAGTAAAGGAGAAAAAAATACTTTAATTTTATTAAAGTGAAATTATTTTGAAGGAGAATGCTTGAGTTAATCTCAAATTAAGATATAAATAGTTGTCTTAAGTTATACAATAAATTTATCGCACTTTAAATTGAAGTATCTTTCACACGGGCAAATTCCTGCTCAAGTCAGAGTGGGCAAATGCCCACCCTAAAAAAATCTAATCTACTAGAGGGGTGCTTTTGGAATTCTAAATAGTTATAATTAACATAATTGAAATGTGAGATTGAGATTTAATTTGCATAATTAAAATGAAAGATCAGGATTTGCTATGAAAGAAAATTTTAGCGGCTTTAATAATAATAGTATAGATATATAACACGTTTATGATTAACTAGAATAATTCTTGTATAGTTGTATGAGAAATGATCCAAAGCAAATGCCACTTTTTTTTCTCAGTAATTTGTATTTTGCATTTAGTTGAATAAGTTCATCAAATTAATAAATCAAATGAAAGCCTGATATACAAATAATTTTCTATCCTAAATTTAATATATTTATAAGGAACACAGAAAATTAATAATTATAAATTTATAATGGAGAACCCAAATTATTTGATGAGATTTCCCTATAATAATTATTCAAGACTCTAAGCTAGATGTTTATTGTATCCTTGAACAACGCCCGAACCTAAATGTCGGTACTGATCAAATCAAGCTCAGAAGAAGGAGCGATGGGGGATCGAACGGAAGCGGTGGCCGAAGCCGGGAAAAATGAATCCACGGTGAAGTTATGCCGTCGTTGTAAGAATCCCTACAATTCCGCCTCGAACACCCCCTCCTCTTGTAGGTTTCACCCTTCCTTCTTCGTATGCCGAAGGCACGACGACCAAAAGAGGTATCTTTCTCTTACTTTTCATTGATGTTCGCTTTACCTACTTATAATTGATGGAATAAAAGAAAGGTTTGATTTTTACCATCGTTATTAGCAAAAGAAGTATGAATAAAATGTTGAAAACCCCCATTGAATGAGTAGGTTGGTGCTTCTTCAGAATTGGGCGGACAACCCACGAATAGTTAGATTGAAACTATTTCTGCCGAGCATGAAGCGGTCTTCTGTTGATGGAATGCTTTTGTGTTTTCAAAATGTTGTGGCTAGATGCCGAGGATGCTCATGATGTTCCAATAAGAAAAAAAATCATAAAATATTTTCGAGGTTATATGAATTATTAAAATTCTGTGTACTGCATTTTTGCACAAGTTATGAATGAAATTTAAAATTCTATCTTTATGAATTTTTCACCATGCAACAGCTCCAATTTCAAATGAACTTAAATTCATGTGATCCACATTAGTATGTATGTAATTCTTTTCCTTTTTATATTCTCCATGCGAGAAGCCACAAATGCAAAAACCCAAGGATCCATAAAATCCAACACTTGGCATTATATTGGGGGATTGTAGTTGTGGGGTCCTTTTTCTTTTGAGGAGATGGAGCTTGGGGTTGCTGATCCCAAAATGATCTTTTAGCTCGCCAATAGAGCTGTTCCTCTTTATTCATCTCAGGCCAGCAAATCCGTTCCGGGTAGGGACGGTTGCCTCTGGTTCTTGGCCGGCTGATTGGAGGGATGGACAAGCAGCCACTGCTGAACTCGAAGTTCAACATTTTTTTCCTCCTCTGTCTTCTTGTCAGATTTCCTCCATATGAGAAAGCATCAGCATCGTGCCTTTCGGGTGCAGCAATCTCCCTTGGCATGACAATAGTGTTAGTAGCCACCACAAAAATCTTTCCTCTGGCTACAATCCTCTTCAGAGCCGGGACTTCTGGCTGAGATAGCCTTTCGAAAAAAAAAAATCTTCCTGTGAGGAGGGTTTTCAGCAGTAGCAGCTCGCAACTCGCGCAGATACGCACTGCGTGCAGTGCTTTTAGCAAAGTGGGGCCCCTCCTTGTAGGCCCTTCAAACTCGATCAATGTCATATACAGGGATAGCGGCATCCCTTGCAATAGCTGCCAAGAATTGTAGTCTATTAAATTGAATGGTGGCTCCAGTGTTTTCAGTACTGATGATAACTAGCATATAATATTTGTCAACTGAATGCGGGCACCACATCCCAGTTAGACAGTGAAAACTAACATATATTGGTAGGGAGCAATAATTTTCCATGAAAACTAACTAGTTTGTATTCGTGTATTGGTTAAAAATACTTCTTTTTTTTCTGAACCTGGCAACGAATAATTAGGGTATGTGGTGGCTATGTGCATGATATGTTGCAGGTATCATCAAGATGCTAGATGTATTGATATCTTAGTTGTTTTGATGAGTTCAAACAATATAGTATCTTTGTGAAGATACAAATTTATCATAAAATAGAAGTGTTGAGATCTTAATTGCTTTGATGTGTTCAAACAGGTAGGAATTAATGGACTTACTTTTATCTTAAATGTGCAAATCTGGCTCATCAATTGAGTTAGAAGAACCAATGAACTGCAAATTACTTTTATTAGTGATGGAAGAGTTAGAGGCTTATAAAAAACGAGACATGTAAAGAGTATTCATTAATGCCTTGGTAGATCACCACTAATGTCAAGTTTTTTTTATTAGCGTCCAGTGTCATGGGCTTGTTCATGTGAGCACATTAGGATTTGTTAAGCCAAGGGTTTTCTTTTGATTTGCTCGCAAAACTTTGGCTTTTTAAAACTTGAAAGTTGATAACACCCAAAAAAAAAGAGATGGAAACCTCTCATTGGCCTGCTTCAAAACCCGGAATTAAGAGATGTAATCCAAGAATCTACTCGTTCTTATTGGTGGACTTGATAAAAAACTTGGACTCAGTAGATGATTTCCATAACCTTTTTTTAATCCTTAATTACTGGGTTAAAAATTCTTTTCCAAAATTGCCAACCAATGCTTTTTTCCTTTTCTTTAAACGTTAGCCTGAAACCTGGTCTCAAATATGCTTTAGCTCACACAATCTTAAGATCTTTCATTTGTGAAAGCTTCTTTTTTCTTTCTTGCAGCCTTATTGTCTTACAAATCTCTAAGGTAAGGCTCAGAAATCTATGGAACTCATCATTTTGGAATTTAAGGACAGAATTTTTTGAGAGTTTATATTTAATTGAGAATTCCTTAAATTGATTTGATGTTGTATCAACCTTATCTATTAAGCTAGATTATGAGTCTATAAATAGTAATATGAGGCATGTAATTTAAAATTTTTGCTTGAGCATTTTTTATTTTTTATTTAAAGTTTTCAATCTTGTAAGTGTAAGTTGGATATATGATTCCTCTAAATGTGGCACTATTGCACAACTTTATTTCATGAAATGTCATCTCCTTGTACTTCTTTGAGATTTAAGCTTGGTTTGGGACGGCTTTCTTACTACTTCTTATAGTAGCTTTCAAGTACAATAGTTAAAAATTTTGTACTAAAAAACTGCTTTAAAATCAGTAAGAAAGCCTTCTCAAATGAAGCCTTAATTTATTTTATTTTGATAAATTTGTTCATTCTTCAATTTTATCTGTATAATTAATTATTTGCTTGTTTATGCCATTGATTTTGATAAAAAAGTGGCATCTGAATTTCTTTATAAGTTAATACAATTTATTCATTGATTTTATTTGTATCCAATTCCTTGCTGAGATTCTCTGATCTTTTCACATTCAACTGAGCTACTGAATTAATTGGTTATGTGATATGTGAATCCTCTTTTTTTTTTTTGTATAAAAGTATGGGAAACCTCATATTTGTGGCCTTGGAAAATCTAAAACACATCTATCGACATGTATTGAGTGTGGTAGAAGGGCTAGCAGTAAGCTCCCACACTGTCCTAGCTTAGTCATTTGGCTGTCATTCCTTGCATCATTTACAATATTTAGTTATTCAATTTACTATCTATTTCATTGCCGAGTTAGGTTTCGTTTGGGACGACTTTTTTAATGCTTCTTAAAGCAGCTTTTTAATACAAAATTTTAAAATTTTATACTAGAAAGCTGCTTTAAGAAGCAGTAAGAAAACCGTCCCAAACGAAACTTTAATCAACGCTATTGAATGATTTTTCAGATATTTAAAGTTACATAGAATATAACCTAAAGAACACACAAACAAGTGATCTGCCATATCTGTTATGCTCTTTTTGAAAACTTTTAATATAATATGGACACCAGATGTATGTAGCATGTTTTATGTTCTTTGAGAATCATCCAAAAGTGGGGATGTCCCATATATTATTGTAGTCCTCTTGACTTCCTAACAGTTTGTCATGGAAATGCCACATTTATGTTTTTTTTTTTCTTTGTTGTGTTGTGCTTTTCAAGGTACTATGAACTTGGCCCAGAAGATCCACCATACGCGGCCAAGTTCTATGACTGTTGTGGAGCTGAAGACCCAGATGCAGTAGGTTGCAGAACAGATTTCCATATATCATATGACGACAATTGATCTGTTATAGAACATCCAATTTTTATGCAAGGTCCATTAAGTATGCTTATAGCACATAATATTGAAACTGCAATTTGAATGGTAACTTGAAAATTTTCACTTTCTACTATGAAGTTTCTTTGTCGTCATATCTAATATGCAGTTTCCTTATAAAATTTCAAGCTTGTTGAACATTCAGATTTTTCTTGTATGATATTGTTGATTTTTCAGTGTTATAGTTAATGATAAATACATTGAAGCTTGAGAAAATTAGTTTTCTGGAGGCCTTTAATTTCATACTGGACAGATTTAAGTGCATGTGAGACTCACCTAAGTTGGATGTGCATGGAGAGAATGGGATGCAGGGACGATTGGTCAAAACAACCTCACTTGTACTTTTCCATTGAATTGAGAGTAAAAGGCTTCATTTTTCTTTTGTTTTGTGGTGATGTTTTTCATGAATGAAGTTTGCCACTATTCTCACATAGATTGGGTTGTTCTGCAATTGCCTTTCTATGGTCCTGAAATCAAGGAATCGTGGAAAGGAAAGATGCTTCAAGTTAGGATTTTTCATACAACTTTTTCCAAAATAAAAAAATTATCTTTAATTTATATCTTGTAAATTATAACTCTTAAATAAAGTATAATAAAACGTTCATTAATTATTCAAAATTTTAAATTATAAATAAATATAGGAAAGGAAAGATGCTTCAAGTTAGGATTTTTCATACAACTTTTTCCAAAATAAAAAAATTATCTTTAATTTATATCTTGTAAATTATAACTCTTAAATAAAGTATAATAAAACGTTCATTAATTATTCAAAATTTTAAATTATAAATAAATATATATATATATATATATATATATATATATATATTTAATGCATTTTGCATCAATATATCTTGATACATTAATTTCTTCCTACTGGTTCTTAATGACTGCCCTGTAACATGTTTGGTATTAGAATTTCTATTCCTATTGTGGATCTGAGTTGCAGCTACCGACTATCTCTAAATTTGGAGTTCGAATCACAGATTTTACGATTATTGCTTATCGTTCTCTAAAAAAAAAAATCTGACTTCTGGCATTTCACTGCTTTTTACTGAACTCTTTGCATGAAGCACATCAAATGGAAGCCATTTTGAGGAGAAAAAATTGCTCCAATATCAAATATTATGAAGTTCTCCCATTTTGAAACCATTCTCCTTCTACATCAATTTAATCTTTCTCTAAAATATTTGATTAGCTCACTGATTTGCACTCTACAGGTTGTGATTATCATGTAGAGATGATTTGTGCACTTGGAATTTAGGAATCCTTAACCTGGCCCTATTGGTGCAGCAGCTCAATAATATCTGTTACTTTGTTCAATGTCTTATTGTAGGCTGACGGTGAGGATTGAACTATGCCCTAATTATACCTTTTATGAATAACAATCTTGTATTTATGATATAATATTGATGAACATAGGCTTTACTGTATCAGCTTATGTTTGGTTTATGTGAATGGATGCCTTTACATTACTGGTGCTGGATATATTATTTTACTGTTTGTGGCTACGTTGTTGAACTATGGGCGTTATAAGTTTGATCAAAAGTTTTCTTGGCGGTGTCACATGTGACATCACTTGGAGACTCTATTCTATTATTGAGAAATTATTATGTGCGGACGTCAGACGCAGCTCTATGTCCGGAGGCGAATCAGGTACAATCACGTCAGCAGTACTGAGCGGCGTTATCGAGTGAAGGGGTGATGTGACACATTCTGGTTGATCTCCGGATGACAATCAGCATCCCATAGAATAATTTTTCTCTATTATCTAATTATTTAGTTGTACTATGAAATAATTTATGACATAAAATTAAGAATGTGTGCTATAAAAAGCATTTTATTTAGATATAAACGTATTAGAATGCCCTGATAAATCTTTTTCTTTGAGAAAACGTGAACCCTTTATGATCTTATTCTAATAAAATAGTTTTTTTTTTTTTTACAATTACGTGTTACAGAATTGTGTTAGGCCGTGAATTCGTGCTGGAAGGGCATATGATCTAATAAAATAGTTAATTATTTTAACAATTTCCAAATATATTTTTCTTGTTAACTTCGCTCAATTGGCATTGGCAGGAACACTTCTCGCCATAGCAGGACCAAAGCCTTTGTACAGTCCCTTGACACCTTCTGTTGCAAAGATCTTCTTGAAGGCATTAATAGAGCCAGAAAATTTTGGGTTTCGATAGTCATCCACCTGAATCACACTCTTAACGACATCAGTCGGATACACAAATGCCCAGAAAGAAGCACCGGCCAATCCTCCGGCTACAATCAGCGAGCCACGACCAAGCTTTGAGGTGTCTGGGCCACCGGCCAAGGTCTTCTTGAGGGCTTCGTAGACACCAAACATTGCAGCATTTCCAGGTACCTCTCTTGCTAAGGTCGGAACCAGACCTTTGAATAAGCCTCTTAGGCCACCTTCGGATCTCAGAACATGCCTTGCCACATCCATGGGTCCGCCATACTTAACGGCGCCTGTTGCGGCTGAGGATGATAAAGCACTTTGTGCCTGCAATCTGTTTCAAAGCTTTAGTAGAAGCAAACAAATGTATACTTGGTTTGAAGTGATTATGAAGATAAACAATAATTTGATGTACTCCAGATATTGACAAAGAATCTGAAAGAAAACTATTCATTTAAATGTGATTGAAATACATACAGAATTGGACAAGTTTTTGTGTACATAAAATACGTTGATACAACGACAAAAGAATTCTTAATAACCAAACAAATAGGCATTCTTATCATCCACAAGCACTCCAATTCCACTTCTAAAAACAAGGAGCTTAAATCCTAAACCCTAAACCCTAAACCCTAAACTTGGGTTCAGGGTTCAGGGTTCAGGGTTCAGGGTTTAGGGTTTAAGCTGATACCCTGATATTCAGCTTAGTTATGGAATTGAATTTGAAGGCAAGGTCTTTGTTATGCCACCGGTTCACAACCGGCGCAGCCGGCCCAAGGTCCAGTTCAGGTTTATGGGAGGCGGAACTTGTCCGCCTACCTTGGTATTGCACGCCCACATGGTGGGCCCCAACTTGCCAAATAGTTTTCAAATTCAAAAGGAGTGGGTGGCTAGGTCTTGGGAGGGAGATTAGATTAGGAAAATGTTTGTATTAAGAGGGGCAGATGTTTAGGGAAGGATTATGTTTTGATTTGTTCTCAATTAGAGTTTCTTGACGACTTGGGCTCTGGACTCTCTTGTCTAGAGATTTGGGAGAGACGATCCTCCTCACGAATTGAGGATCAAATGTATCTTGCTTTGAGTTTTGTTTTGCTTTGATTCTACTACCGCAATTTATCATTTATAGATTGATTCGTCCTGTTTTTCTCGTTGTTTTGAACCAATTATTGCTAGGGTTGCTTGCAAACTCAAGTATTTCCTCTTGGATTACTTGCGAACTCAAAGTATTTCCTATCAGACTTCTTTGACAAACGTTATTAAAAACAAAATCAAGTTGAGGTAGAAATTTAAGGAAAGGTAATGAAGTCATGTTGCTGTGGTGTATGAACTCTCATAGGGATGAACTCGTTTCTTTGTATGTCTATTCCTGGATAGTTGTGAAGCCATTGAGGGGAAACTACATGATAGGGCTTCCATTGTGCGCTTCTCATACAAATAGATTTCATCGCATTTATTTTAGGACTTGCAAGGACAGGTATATCTGGATGTATTAAAAATAGTTGAGGAATAACACTGGTAAAACAAAGTCTTAAGAGTATATTATGATATTTGAATAACTTTATACTCTTTCACAAGGTATTCATGATATAACTCTTATTCTAATTATGGTATGGATTAAACGACTAATTATGTTTAACGGAATCGATATTGGAATAGCGAAAAAGATTTTACGAAAGAAAAATAAATTGTAAATAGCAAACAGAACCAAACATTACTAACCTGCACTTGATTAACTCTGTTGGGCATGCAAGAAAAGAAACAGCAACTCCAGCACCAGCACCACATATGACCTGCTGCTGCACTGTGAGAGGGACTCCTGGTTCAGACCTCAGCAAAGCCTCCATTTGTCCTCTTACAGTAAACAAGACGGCATTGAAAGCTGCAACGGTGGCAAGTGGAGCTCCCATCCCTTTGTATAAACCCCTTGCGCCTTCTGCTGCAATTGTCTGCTTAACAGCATCCATTGCACCAGAATACTTAGGAAGTTGTCCGGGAAGGGGGACTGGCTGGCTTTGCAGCTTGACTTTTATTGTGTCAAAAGGATGCCCAACAATCAATTGTGCTGCACCTCCAATGGTCCCGGAAGTTAAATCCTTAACCACATCTGCCATCTGCAGTATTAATAGTAGTCAGCAAAAATGTGGCAATTTTACAAGGTATGAATTTTCAGACTCTCCTGCATATTTTTCTTTTTACACTGTTGTTTCATTTCTCAAGAGAAAAAAAAAAAGAAAAAGAAACAAGATATCTATGTAGACAATTATATTCGGTAATGCATAACATTGTAAGTATACCAAAACAATAAAATAATATTAAGGTTTCAAAAAAAAAAGTATTATATATTGAATAAAGATTATTGATATTATCTTAAATATTTTTTTACTCTAAAAATAAAAAAATAAAAAAAATCATTGGAGAGCGAAGCTTTAAAATATCTAATGCAGCAATCTAATTGGCACCTTCTTCCAAAGAAATCATTCAATGCCTTCTAATAGCAAATGGATAAAGATAGTCGAAACTTAGATGAAAATCACCCCTCTTTGCCAATGAGGTGGCAATAATGTCCTAGGATTATTACTCAAATTAATTAGAAACAAAAGCTTTTGGCTAAAAACCATAGATGAATTACAACGGAAAGCTCATTCAAAGCTATGATTGGAGCATATATCTTTCTACTGTGAAACTTGTCCTCTATTGTGAACTTGTCACCTATGTTTTATCAACAATTGAGCTTAAGAATAATGAAGAAGATGAGTTGTGAACCTGCAGGGGTAGAGCTTTAGCCAATGCCTCTGCTCACCACTTTGTCTTAGAAGTGAAGAGCTTTTTTGGGGTTTAGAGAATTTTTAGTGGATCTGTCATGGAAGGACCACATTGAAGCGCATAATAAAACTCAGGGATTCAAATGGAAGGTTTTTTAAACCAAGGATTAATGTGAAGAGGCTCCATGAGAGACCCAGGCATACCTAATAACTTAATGTTGAAAAAATCTGAAGAAAAATGGTGTAGATCAATGGTGACATAAATAAAAGTAGAGCAAAAAACTTCCACAAAATAGGTGTAACAACTCTTGCAACACTAAAAAAAAATGAATAGAAAATGAGAGTTCACAAAGCCAACCCAAGTACAATATACCCAAAAAGTTAAATTCTCGTTTAAATCTAATAAAAAAAAGATCATTTCTAATATTTTCTAACCAAGTGTTTTTAGGTCTACCTCTGCCTTTCTTAACATAAGTCAAATCTAATACCTCTATTTTCCTAACCAGGTCATCAGAAGGCCGCCATTTTATGTGACCAAACCATCTAAGACGACTCTCTCTAATCTTATCTTGCTGTAGAGCTACTCCTATTCTATTGACACTTGGATGTCGCTTAAATCAAGCGACATCTTACAGAAGTCAAGCTACTTAAACTCCAAAGAAAACACACAGCATAGACAGTTAACATTGACATCTAACTTACATTAACTTCTACATTAAACAAAATGAATAAATAAAAACCTCGCAGCTTAATTTGCGCATGAAAAATAAAGGAAAGAAACAATAATTCAAAAACAATTAGATTAAATCTACTTGGCATCCACCTATGGAACTTGTCTAAGATCAACACAGCCTAAATCATGTAAGAAAGGTAAAACTCTCAAACAATCTTTGACTTTATTCCCATAGATCTGACGGAGTTGATATGCATTCCTTCCTAGAACGGATTACCATCTCCAAAAAGTCAAACATTAAGCTCGTCCATCCCAAACCGCCAATTTTGAGCAAAACTGAAAGGTAACAGCCAAACAATAGAGTGTCTTGCATTCAGATTCCAGATTCCTTGGAAGTTTTTAATCGTTCATCAAAACAGTTTCGAATCCCACTTTTTCAAATCCCGATCCCCTCCCTGTGCGAAATTACAACTAAACAAGTACAGCTCCAATCCACACATTCGATTACATAAGCAAATGTATATTACTTGCAGTTATTGGATCCAATCTAAAAAACCAAACTTTAGAAGATGAACAGAAGAGGCATTGAAAGTGAAAAAGCAAAATAACTCACTGTGGTTCCAATCTGTCGCTAAGCTTTTGAAATTGATCAAAACCGCGCAGCCGATTATGTATGAAAGGCTGCTCCTTTTTCACAAGGTGATTCAGTTTTATCAAGCGAAGGAATACCACACGAGTGAGCCGCGACAAAGAAAGAGAAGAAATGGAGGTTGAGATGAGTAGGAGACAGATGAAGCGACAATGGCCGTCTGATTGAGTGGATTTCCACTAATGGGAGAAGACAAAGAACGCACTTTACGATAGAATAGGGTTGGCGGAGAAGAAAGAATCTTCATCCTCTCCTTCTCGCTCGCATGAAATCTTTTGTGGTAGGTAATATGGACGTTTTCTCGGACACTCGCGTATACGGGTACTTGATCAAAACCGTGGAAGTTGTTTTCAACGGTCCAAATTGCATAAATCGCAAATCGCATGCGAACGAAAGGTAGAATATCTTTTTTTTTTTTGGAAAAATTTGCTCAAATTTTGAGAATCGAATAATTATGAATTTTTAAAAAATTGAAATAGAATATTTAAATTAAATTTTAATATGAATGAACAATTAAATTATTAAAATTATTTTAGATAAATAAAAATTTTAACTAACTATTTCCTATTATATTTATTTTAAATTAAATTTAACAATTTTAAAATTTATACAGATATATCTGAATTGGAAAATACTTTTTTCTCATAATCATAAAAAGTGAAATAGATTTATATTAAACACTTATAATCTTGTAACAGGTTAAGAAATAATCGATTCATATTATATAATGTATGGAGAATAATGAGTGAAAAAAAAAATAGTGAAATAGAGAGAGAAAAAAATATAAAGCGAGAAGATATGAAATTTCTATAAAATAAATTTTAGTATAAAAAATTACGTAAATCAAGTTTGCCTTGAACCGTATTCACAATTTTGATTTGGGACTTGAACATTACAGAACTAGTTACGTATGTAAATAATATAGAGATAATAAGAAAAAATATATAAATATCGTGCAACCCGATTAGAATGTTCAACTTGTAATCATCATTGAGCTATTAAGAAGTCATTTGCTTAGCGTGTTAGGCGGATGGAGAACAAAATGGTACCAATCAATAATTTTTCACATGAAGAAAGTCGTCCACTTGAGTATTTTGTTAGGACCGACTTAATAGATTATGTTGGCCTATTTAGGATGAGCTAATAGATTGTAGTATCCTACTTCAAATATGTTCATTTGTATAGAGTTTTATTATTATTATTATTATTTTTAAACTAAGGCTGAATAGACCGAGTTGAGGCCATAAACTGGTAGACTTGGTTTGAACTAGCCAAGTTGAATTGAATTGGGCAAATATTCTATGCGAAAGATATGAAATAAAAATTTAGAGAATCAAGTCAAGCTTATTTGGGTGGATTTTTTTTTTTTTTTTGGACATTTAAGTCAATTAAGAAAGATTTATACACACATTGCATACACAAGACTCGAACCCAAGACCTCTTAGTTGATAACATAAGCTCCAAATCAACAGACCAATGTGAGCTGTGTGCAACTTCGAGGAGTTACACGGTTCACAAATCACAAAATCCACTAAAGCAAGCACCAAGATTCTTCAAAAATTTAGATTAAAAAAATATTCAAAATAAAAATTTAAAAAATTTTAAAAAGTTATTTAAGAAGCCACATGAACCTCGATTCCATCAAACGAACAATCAAGATAGAGTGGCTTGATAAGATGAATATAATGGTATTAAAATTATACAAATTTGAGTGCATTGTAATTTAAATCATCCGAGATATATTGAATTAGACCGGTACAAAGGGGGTAGAACCCTCCCTCCCCATGCCCTATGCCTGTTGCATGTCAGACATCGGACCGTTCGGAGGTAAATTAGAATGCGCCACATCACTCGGTACATAAATTTTAAAAGCAATTAGATGGATAAACCCGGCGGAAATTATGTTATTACATAAGTTTTCAAGATGCCATAGAAAATACCGAATGAATGGCATTTAAGTTGGAGCCATAGAAAAGCAAAATGCTACAATGAGATGGGACAAAACATTCATAGCAAAATTCAATGCACACATCAAGCAATTGTATTAATAAAGCAGATAATAATTAGAAAACTCCAAAACACATCATTATCTTACTATACCAAGTAAATGTATTACTTTTTCACAGAATATTTTAATACCGGTAGCAAATATCTCACCCCTCTGATCAATTCTTTTTAGACCTCAGATTTGTCTACCCATCAGCCAACCTTAGGCTCACCGTAGACAAATTTTTACAAACAGTATCTCTCATAAAAATGATGTAATAAATTGCATGCCAGTTATTCTAAACAAGTCACTAGTTTAAAATTCTTCCATCTGAATTCAAACAAACCTGAGTTCCTTATAATAATGGCGTGGGTATATTTTCATGCAGCTACTAAGTATTTTGCTCATGCCAAACGCCGTCCAAAGACAAATCAGAATGCGCCATATCAGATGTATCAAGCTTGGTACCAAGCGGTACCGAGCAACACCGAGTTGGGTACCGAGCAGGGGGTGATGTGGCACATTCTGATTGGTCTTTAGAAGTCGTTTGGCATCCACACAGAATAACTTCACCAGAAATAGACCTTAAAAAAAGTAAAATAAGAAGAAGCCCAATTCAGGGATCGAAAAGCCTGTTCCTAAGACATAACAATCATCCCTATCTGACAAATAACATTAGAGAGCAGCAGCAGAACTTTTGGAGATATATCTGTATAAGTATATTGAAACATAGAAACGAGTACACTAAGAATTACATTAAAACTTCGGCCTTCCCTCTAAATATGTGCAAAAAAAGCCGTGAATCTGCACTCTAAAAAAACCACCAGTCAAAGAAGCTGGTAAAAAGGGAGAAATAAAGAAGGATTTCTGTGTAACTATGAACAGATGGCAAGGGCTCTAAAATTCTCCCTCAGAACTCCTCAGATATCAGCAATACAATAGAGTAAATGACAAAGCAAGTACTGCCCCCAGGAAGTTCCATTTCAAGAGCTGTTGAATCTCCCAAAGAGAAACAAAGAAGTGTTGGCTTGAGGTTTCTCAGGCTCTTTTTTAAAAATGTTTTTAGCCGATCTCTCCCTCTCTGCTGCAGGAAAACCAAGAGAGAGAGATAGGGATCCTGATAAATCATCTTCATCATCCCCCGAAAAACCAAGTTGCATGTGCTGTTTGCCTCCAACTGATGCAAATGGTAATGGCGATGCTGCCGGCTTCGATGATTTACTCTTTCCTCCAAGAGCCAGTTCCAGATCAGGTGTGCAAGATTCTGGGGTTTCTTCATCATCTGAAGATGGAATATGTATAATATTGGCAGATTTGTTATTCTGCACAGGGCACAAATCTGTTGGGAAAAAGCATCTCTCTGTAGTTCTCGAGTTCACCAGCTTCACAGGTTGACTGCAGCTTTGTTCATCTTCTATCTCCTGACTCAAAATGCTAGAATATAAGGGGTGTATTTTCGAGGACAATCTGTTGCTAACATTAACTTCAGAAACATTACTAACACCGGCATAGCAGTTCTTCTTCAGCTCTCTATCATCCTCCATAGAAATCCATCTTTGCCTTTCTCTCAATTGCACCATTTCAGCTGAGCTATTTGACATTCCATGAGCGTGTTGCAACACCCTTTCTATAGAACATGAGCGCCCACGTTTCTTGTTATTAAGGAAATCTGCCTCTAATACATTTTGTCTGGGATCATCATCATCTATAATAGCTACACTAGATGTTGAGCATTCTTTGTCTCTCAAATTCCCTTCAATGCTGCTGAATTCATCACCTGTTACTTCAAATGGAAGCAGAAGTAAAATGATTACAAACAATAAGTATAATGCTCTTGCTCATAGTTGAATGAAGGCTCTCTTTGGGGTGGTTTTCTTAATGCTTCTTAAAATAGCTTTTTAGTATAAAAATTAAAAATTTTGTATTAGAAAGCTGCTTTAAGAAACAGTAAGAAAGCCGTCCCAAATGAAGCCGAAATGTAGTTTCACCTTGGTTGCAATTTGGAGAGCCTAGGGGTACAGATGATGCTCTTTTAAGGCTAGACTCGTCTCCAAGATCGTCTGCAAGAGCAAACGTGTCACCAGTCTTTCTGTTTGCGCAATCACTAACAAACTTTTTCTGCATGTACAACGATGCAAGTCAGTTTACCATTATGTAAGCCACCTATAAATGCGCAAAATGGTGAATCATTAGACTCTAATCGTGCGCAGTATCGAACAAGTGCACTTCTACTTTCTTAAGTTCTCAAAGTGATTTGAATTAAAAGCATCATTATCTAGAAGGTAAGTGTTATGAAACATGATATACGGCAGACAATGTCAGGTAGATAAATGTGGTGGATTGATCAAGCGCAGAATATGAAACAGTAACCATGGGTTGCAACCACCAGATAACACAGTACTGGCAGCATGGCCATGATCCTCTTTGGTAACTAGCAGCTAACTGTATCTTTCCACAAACTTGTAAACTCGGATGTGTTCTAAAAGCGCTTTTCTGGTTAACCATAAACCGTTAATTATTATGTTAGAAGGAACATGAGCAATGGGATATAATGGGCTTTTTCAGGATATTAAAAGCTATGTAGAGATACCATAGGATTAGCTAATTTTCTAGAAATGCGCAAGGCTTAAATATAATATATGCATGCATGGGCATTCATGTTGGGGACGTTGATGGTTGAGATCTTCTTTCTTCGCTCAATTATCCTCTGATTGTAGCTTCCATAATTTGAATTCAATCCTTCAGATGGAAAGGATTGGGGTGAGGAGTTTAGGGAGATAAATGAGGGAGGAGCAGGTAGGCTTCTCAGGATTCATTGGTTTCCAAGGGAGAGAAGGATCAGAAATCTAGCCTTAGGAGAGGGATCCTGTTAGACTGGTCCTGCAGACCGGTCTTGCAGACGATTCAATCCTTTAGTGCGGACCGGCCAGTGTCTACACAAGAGTTCCGCCTCTTGCTTGTGCTGACCAAACCATGTATCCAACAACGCCAATTAGGAAGGATTTAGGGGGGAATTATGAGAGAAATTTGAATGTAGGGGTAGTTTAGAGATTTCCTTTTAGATTGTATGCATTAAGTAGCATGTTTTCCTAGGGTTAGGGCATTGAGAGTTGGTGTATTTTGACTGTTTCTTCATTGTTTTGGGCTCTGGCAGTGTCTAGACAGTTGGAAGAGTCGGATATTCCTCTCCGATTGAAGATCCATTGTATCCTGCATGTTTTCTACCTTCTACTATCAAGTTAATCGCGTTCCCGTTTGTGTTTTCTTCAAGTTCTTAAAAATTCTAGTTTCATGCCTTGATGAAATTCAAATTCAGTCAAGGTGATTTGGGAATTTGACTGGTATTTTCTATCAAATTGGTATCAAAGTTGTTCAATCTAGGTTACCAATGGCCAGAAGAAAAGTAGTAGTGTTGGAGGGAGAATTAGGCCAACTAAAATCAAATTTTGAGGAAAAAATTTCAAATATTTAAAACCAAATTGCATCCGTACATGAAAAAATGGATAGAAAGTTCGTCATAGTGAAAGACATACTGAAAAAATTGCTTGAAGTCAAACCCAATACGACGACATCTGAAATGAAGGAATGATCGAGGTGACGAACTGAGGGAGGGAGAAAAGAAAAAAGCGGCACTGAATGTACATGGATCACAACGGGATTTCGGCAAAATTCTCGAAGGATTTGCGTAGTTCCATATATATAATCTACTGTGGAGGTCAACATGTCAAGATGGACCAGAGGAGCTTAAACTACATTTTGAAACAGAGAATGGTGGAGGAGCATCAGAGGTGGTTGTCCAAGCTGATGGGCTATGACTTTGAGATCCAGTATATGATAGGATTGGAGAACAATGCAGTTGATGCCTTATTTAGATGTATGGGGGAGCTCCAGAAGATAGCCATTTCGGTACCACTGATGATAGATTAGGAGGCTATCAAAGAAGAAAGTGTTCAGAACAAGGAGCTAAGGAAGATTGGGATGGATCTAATGAAATATGAGAGCAACCACTCAGGCTATTCCCTAGAGGGAGAGAGACTACTATATCAAGGAAGGTTTGTGATGCAACATACCTTAGTTAATATTCGCCACCTGCTGCAGGAATTTCATGGGAGCACTATAGGAGGCCATTCCGATGTGTAGAAGATATACAAGAGATTGATAGTAGAATCGTATTGGAAGGAGATGCATAAGGATGTGAAAGAGATGGTGACTAGGTGTAAGGTATTAAAGAGAAACAAGTGCATGGCTATGACACCTTCAACCACAGGCACTTTCAGACCAAGTGTGGGAGGTCACTATGGACTTCATAGATGAGCTACCCCGATCTGAGGGTTTACGATAATTTTAGTGGTGGTTGACAGATTGAGTAAGTATGCTCATTTCATCCCCTTACAACGCACTTACACGGCAGTTACAGTGGCAACAGCATTCAACAAAGAGGTGGTCAGGTTGCATGGGATACCGAAATCGATAGTCTCGAACCGAGATAAGGTGATCATGAGTCATTTTTGGAGGGAATTATTCAGGCTGCAAGGAATAGTGCTAAAGAGGAGCACTGCTTACCACCCTCAAACAAATGGACAGACAGAGGTGGTAAACAGGAGCTTGAGACTTACCTGCGATGTTTTGCTCCAAAGACATCTCAGTTGTGTGCCAAGCGGCTAGCATGGACAGAGTAGTGGTACAAAACATTGCATCACTCGGCCTCCCAGATGACTCCTTTCAAAATATTATATAGACGAGACCCCCGACACTTAATACATTTTGGGCAGAGTAGCACACCAGTCTTTTATGTAAAGAAGTATTTGGAGGAAAGGGATAGAGTACATAACAAATTAAAAAGGCATTTGCTGCAGGTTAACAAATTATGAAGAAATAGGCATATGGGCACATGAAGGGCACCAAGTTCGCAATTGAGGATAGAGTCTTCTTGAAGCACCGTCCTTACAGATAGAGGACAGTAGCGAATAGGTGGGATGAAAAGTTGGCACCAAGATACTTTGGTCCTTATGAGATATTGGAAAGGATTGGAGTTGTGGCTTACTGATTAAAATTACCCCCGACCGTCGTCATACACTCGGTGTTCCACATCTCCTAGTTGAGGAGAGCTATTAGGGAGCACGCAACTAGTTCAGAGTTACCAGCAACCCTGACGGAGGATCTAGAGGTGGTGTTAGAATCACTGGAATTGAAAGAGGTGCGACAAGAAGAGGGAGGGATCAAGGAAGTGCTCATCAAATGGAAGAACCTACCCAACTATGATGCCAATTGGGAACCGTACGAGAGGGTGAAGCATCAATTTCCATCCTCCCACTTTGATGACAACGTTGATTTTTGGGAGAGAGGTATTGTTAGACCGGTACGGTCGGTCCACACTGGACTGCCCAAACCATGGATCCAACAGCACCAATTAGGAAGGATTCAAGGGATAATTATGAGGGAAATTTGAATGTAGGGGCTATTTAGAGATTTCCTTTTGGATTGTATGCATTAAGGAGTATGTTTTCCTATGGTTAGGGCATCGAAAAGTTGATGTATTTTGACTATTTCTTCGCTATTTTTGGCACTAACAGCGCCTAGAGAGTTGGGAGAGTCGAATCTTCCTCTCTAATTGAAGATCCATTGTATCTTGTGTTTTCTACCTACAACTATCAATTTAATCGCGTTCCCGTTTGTGTTTTCTTCAAGTTCTTCCAAATTCCGGTTTCGCACCTTGCTGAAATTCAAATTCAATTAAGGTGATTTGCGAATTCGACCGGTGCTTTCTATCAGATCCATGGAATGGGAGAGAGGAAGGGGAGAGATAAGTAGAATGTTTCAATTTGAATTTGTAGGTAATGAATAATCCAACTTCTTTATTACTACTTATATAGAAATAGGATTACGTTTAAAAATTTAAACTAAATCAAGGTGAATCATAAAATCCAACCATCTAATTAAAAATAATAGGTTTCCAAAAAAGAAATTATTATTTAGTTAAATAAAATAAATGAACACAATTGCAAGTTGGCTTGACCTGATTAAACTGCACTTAAATCTTGTCATAAATCTGGAACTAGGTCTTGGATTTGGGTCATGTGTTGCATCAATTACCCAATGAAACACTACTTTATTAACATCTTTTTAGGCCATTAACTAGCAAGATTCTTAAGTAGGATTTTCACATTGACAAATCTAATCTATATCATCATCCACTAATATACCATTATGACAAGTTCTTAAGTCAACAATCCCCTCCGAAATAAATGTTTCACTCCTACAAAAAAAAAAAAACAGAAGACCAGATATACACAGTTCTAAAGCCTAAACCAGGCCCCTAACAACCCATAAGATCGATAAGAATATGATTTGTACATACTCTAATATTGGATAGAGTTTTTCAAAAGATTAAGTATCAGAAACCCCCTAGAAAGCATAATAAGGTTGAAGCTGACTGTAAAGATGCGCTTAAGTCGCTAAAATATTTGAACTGTAAAAGAAACTCAACATTAATTAGCTAGTAAAATATAACCGGTAAATGACAGCTCCTAAGTAATCTATCATAGCATGAAGCTGGAATAACTTATGCCAAAATCAAAGAATTCCAAATGTCTAATCAGTTGAGGAGAAAAAACTACTTCATGAAATAATATTTTACCTGAAAAGCCCCATCATTTTTCTCTTCAGAACAAGAGTTTGATGTAGACATTAGAACCATAGACTTGGGAGAATCAGCAACTCTCAGTGGCTCAACAGTTGTTCGAGATAAATTACCAACAGGAAATGAAGGCTGTCCTTGAGGCACATCAGGATCAGCGACCATTTGAGTTGAAAATTTTTTTATAGAATCTTCTAGGTTTCTGCATGCCTTATCCTCGATGCCAGAAGCTATGGGCGGCAAATCCATAGAGTCGGCCAGATCCCCTGCCAAAATCTTGGATGGTCTCGATTCTGGGTAATGGACATTACAAACTTGGGCGTTGGGTGCTATGGGCAAATCTTGATTTGGGAGCTCCATATCCAAATTTGACACATTAGGTTTCTTCTGGCCACCCATCACAGGCAAGCCGTATTTCCTTTTAGCTCTGAACATTCCCCAGAGATAATACATCATGTTCCAACCTGAGAAAGACACTCAATTAATGACCTAATGAAAGGCTAAAAAACAAAAATGGCTAAACAGCAGCAATAATGCATATCCAAATATATAAATTTCTTACGCTGGGAGTTCATTGGCAACTTATTTGATATGAATATATAAAGTTCAACTCCATCAATGTTTCCTCTGAGAGATAAATCATTTTTATGCATCCTATCCATTAGCTTTCTGTAACTTCTCTCATAACTGTGCCAATCCCAATAGGAAGAGCCATCAGCTCTGCTAATAATCATGCAACAAAATATATAAATTAGAAGCAGGAAATATTCTAATACACAAACCTCTCAGCATCTTTTGCGAAGAAGAATAGAGCAATATTCTCCTCTTGCGGACCAATTCTTTGAAAATGTGATGACCATAAGCTAATGTGAGATACTTCCTCCAATTGGACACAACCAGGTACCTTGATTGCTGCGTCAAACACTCTATGTGAAGCACAACTTGATAAATGAGCTTGAATTCCATTGAAATTTTCAGCAAAATTTCCAGTTCCCAGAACATTAAAACTACCTCTACAAATTAAAGAAACAAAAAGAAACATGATTATACATGGGAGCAAATAAGAGAATTTTAAAATTCAAATCTGGCAGAATAAGCATATCATACTGCCATATGCATTCCAGCTTGGGAATTGCCGACGGTCTCAATGTGTTTGCTAAAAGAGGTGCCTTATATTGTAATGCTTCTGCAAAAGGCTTCTCACTGAACTTTGCAATAGTAGGACTATGACTCAAGTCATCAGCTTTGGTAACATAAGAAACCTCCACTGGAAGGATAGACGGCTGCCCGGAATTTCCGACAGCTATGTTTTTGGTAGAATCAACATTTAAATCCTTTGAGGTGTCTTTACCATTGCCACTTTCTAAAATTGATACACTAGTCTTCTGGATAAAAGCAGTTAGAGCATTTTTAGAAGCTGCTTCACAATTCATATTTGCTTTAGCTGCCTGAAGCTCCTCACGTGCATCAGGTTTGGTACCCTTTAGCTCTCCACTTCTCGATATTGCCGCATTCACTATTTCTCTCCATTTATTAGGCTTCTTCACCACCTCACTTGAATTCCCTTCAGCTGCAAGCTTATTAGCAGATTTTCGAAGCTTGTCAACAGAACAGTGCTGAGTCACATGCCCAGTTTCATTGCATCTTTGACAATGTAACTTTTGGGCACCACCTAAGGCCGTAAACCTTGAACTGGCAGTTCTGGGAGAATCCCTCATGCTGTCATCCTTGCGACCAGACTCTGAAAATTGAAGAATGCTATAAGGTGATACAATATCAACCTTGCTGTTTGATCCATCTATAGCACTGGTGTTGGTCTGCATTCCTTTACTAAGGGGTTTGAACCTTTTATGCTGTTCAGCTTTATAATTTCCATCGGAATAGCCAACACTCTTAGATGAATAAGATGCCTGCTTCTTCCCTTCATTGGAACCTAGTAGACACAGGAAAACAATGAGATGCATAAAATAAAGGGAAATTTACATATATATACCACTTTATTTCATGCTATTTACATATCTAACACTCAAAACATTAATATTACATGTCTACCACCCATTTACAACTTTAATATCAAATATATCTCTCCTATAATTCATTTCTACCATTCATACCATCCTATAAACTTTAATATTTAATTCCATGCACTCAAATTTGTTCTATGGGTGATAGGCATGTAATATTAATGTTTTGGATGTTAGATATGTAAATAGCAAAAAATAGTGAACAGAGTATGAGGAAAAGGTGACCAATAAACTTTTACCCAAGTCATTTGCATCATTCAATGTTTTACTCGAGCTAGGACCTTCTGTTTCAGAGATGCTTTTTATTTTCCCATCACTATGTACAGACTTAGCATCCACCTTAGTAGAATAATTGCTGGCAAGAACTGCTGATGGCCTTAAAAGGGAGTTTTGCAGTGCTGAAATATTCTTTCTTTCAACATTACTTCTTTCTTTTACTTCTTTTGGTCCTCTTAAGCCTTCAGGAAGGGATGGCTTGAATGATGAGCTTTTACTCGTTGACTCAGTATTAGGGCGTCCTGAGGTTGTATTTTTAAAAGATGTAGTTCTAGTCAACGATTTGACTAACCCCTCTTTTCTCAAGTCATTAGTTGTAGATTCCCTTGTGGTTTTTTGCTTATGAGACGCATTTTCAAAGAATGTTTTGACTTTAGGTACACTGTTCGAGTAGCTAAAAGAAACTGACCTTGATAGAAATCCTGAGAAAAACAAAAAGAGCAGCATAGCAGAAAAACAGTTTAATCACTCGGTAGCATTTCAGTTACAAATCTAAATCAATTAAAGGAGAAATGAATTTGAATGTAGAGGTACCATGAGGGGACGGAGGATGTTGTTGACCCTTGAATGAGCTAGAGCTTAAAGATGCTTTGTATCTTGAAAAAGCCTCAGAACCTTTAGGAGAGTGAACTTCCGATAATGTTGGCAAGCTAGTTGTCTTCACTTTTTCCATTGTCTGGTTTTTAAGCGAAAATTGACGAGACAAGACAGGATTTTTCCTTGGGCTGGCAATTTCTAAGGAGGCTCCATTCCGTTCAGAACCTTTTTCTTCCTCTGGATGCTCAGCTTGCCTCCTAGTGGAAATATGGGAGCTTTGCAGTCCCTTAGAGGGAGCTTGAGTAACAAAATCAATTGGCCCGGTATCCAATTTCGGTGACTTCTTAGGGATTAAAGTGCTCAAAGCTTTTTGACTGGATTCATTTAAGCATGTTGAGTTTAATTTTCCAGAAACTGCTTCACACTCATCAACAATCTGATTTTTCATCTCTTTGATTTTGCATTCTTCACATAGCCAGTCACCCTCAGGAACTTTATGTAGCATTTCGTTCATACAGTATCTATACAGATGGAAACAACAATTAGAGTGTAAAATGGAAAAATAGGATACCATCAGCAAGCAAATCTAAGTTTCACAAGCTTACGTATGCTCTGCACCATCACTACACCTGCTGCATATAGCAAGAAGATCTTCCCTTCCAGCATCCCCACATATATCACACACTTTTACCTATAAACATTAATTTCAAAGAAACAAATTACCACAATATTACAAATTGTCTAAAAATTACATAAAATGGTGCAGTGCAGCATACATACGGAAGAATAGATTAAACGGAGGAAGAGAAGTGGGAACAACAAAAGGAGAGATTTTGTAAAAATTGTGAGAATTCTAAAAAAAAAACTTGAATGAAAAAAAAAAAGGAAATATCTAAGCCTTCAAGGTCAATTAGCTGGTAAACAAGAACAATTATTTTGTGTAAAAAAAAGTTTGAAGGCTGTTTAAGGCCAATTAGCTAAAATGAATTACTTGAAAAAGTATACGGATGTAGAACAACTTGTTAGGTATGATGAAGCAAGTTATCTTATTCTCCTAATTGGGGAGAAGATATGATAGTTGCACATGAGCAGCCAAGGGTGCCAATAATGCAGAGGAACCCTTAGAGAGCCCTTGAAAGTCATTAGATTTGACCTAAGTACAACCAAGGTTGATGTTGATTGGCGCAAAACTACTACATGGCATGCCTATTTTACTGAGAAATTATGTACACAAATTATTACTAGCAGGAATTGCATGGTGTTTAAAATACAACCTTGGATAGGAAGAACCACAAGCTTAACCTCTTCCACATCTGTATAAATTTGCTCATGAAGATCAAAAAGCTACAGCACTCAAAGATGCATGCTCCCCACTGAACTTGTCACCCATTTGGATAAATATCAAGTGTGATGAGATTGGTGTCTTATCAATGAAATTTTGCACATGTTCATCTAGGTCAACCATAATTGTATAACCAATGGAAATCTCATAAATATGAATCACGAATACAAATTAGAATTCCTCTGACAGGAAAACCATCCTCAATCATGAAATTCTTATTAAAAAATAGTAATGCACCAATTAAATTGATATATATCTCATTTAAGTCCTTAAAATTGATGCAATCCTCTTTAATGTGATTGGAGCTCGTTATCTTTTTTTTTTTTCCCACCGCAAGATTTGAAGGATGGTATAACTATGGTTCTGACGATGTTCGAACCCAAAATCTTGGGCAACGTCCAAGACCCTTACAGATCGAACCAGCTTACACCCTCAAATTAAGCCTAGTATCTTAACTTGTATATTGTGCAAAATGATGGCTATCATATTTTAAGGCATCAAAAGATTTATTATCAATTCTAGCACAGTATTTTAACACAAAAGTGTATTCTATAAGAATTAGACCCATTTATGATGCATATGCCATAGTTTTTGTTTTAGAAATTTAGATGTTTAAAAGTTTGATGATCCAATATAGAACAAACTCCATGATCAATAAGAAATATCTCTACAATAAGAAATATCTCTAGTACCAAAGTAATAGTTAAATGTTATAGAATTATCTATCATAATTAGAGTATTTCTGCTTTCTATTATTTAACTTCTCACCAAAATGAATGATTAGGTGTCCATCTTGACTCAATACTCCCTCTTACATTATATAATAGAATCATAGATGTGTCACAAGAAATCTCAAAAACTTTAATAAAATCAAGCAATCCTAATACTAGTGTGTCAGTCTCCTTTTGATGTCTTGGAACACATGCTAGGAGCAATACTCATGCAAGATTAGAGGCCTATTGCATACTTGGCAAAGTACTCACAACCAGAGAAAAGCACAAATCTGTTTATGAGCGGGAGCTGATGGCGATCATCTTGGCTATTCATAAATGGCGGTCTTATCAGTTGGAGAGACATTTCATAGTCATGACAGATTATAGGAGCCTAAAGTTTGTGTTGGAATAGTTGTTGGTCACTGAGGATCACTAGAGGTGGCTATCCAAGTTACATGGATATTATTTTGAGATTCAATATCGACCAGGACTAGAAAACAAGGCAGCAAATGTCTTGTCCAAGAGAGATGAGGGCCCTCGGTTGATGATCTTGCAGTACTATTGATGATTGATTGGGAGGCATTATGAAATGAAAATGAACAAAATGAAGAGTTTAGGAAGATCAGGGAGGAGCTGCTGCAAGATCCAGACAGTCACCCAGGTTATGATCTGAAAGAGGGAGAGATATTGTACCATTGGAAGTTTTTGTTACCTCAAACCTCGGGGTATATTCCCAAACTGCTGCAATAGTTCTATGCCAGTACGATGGGAGGCACTCCGGAGTTCAAAAGACATATAGTCAACTATCAACAGAGTTATATTGGGTAGAGATGCGTCGCAATGTAGAGAATTGAGTGCTAAATGCGATGTGTGCCAAAGGCATAATTACTTAGCCATAACACCATGAGGGTTACTACAACCCTTAGCCTTACCGAAGAAGGTATGTGAGCAAGTGACGATGGACTTCATCAAAGGGCTACCACGAACGGAAGGGTTTTCATTGATCTTGGTAGTAGTGGACAGTCTTAGCAAGTATGCAAATTTCATCTCACTGAAGCATCCTTATACCGACATCACAGTGGCTACTATTTTCATTCAAGAAGTGGTACGTTTGCACTGGTTTCCAAAAGTCATTGTGTCATACAGGGACAAGGTGTTCCTTAGCCACTTCTAGAAGGAGCTATTTCAGCAAAGTACAGCCTACCACACTCAGACATATGGTTAGACAAAAGTCAACAACTGAAGTGTAGAGACCAACTTGAGATGCTTTGTATCAGACACACCAAAGAGTTGGATTAGGTGGATTGTGTTGGCAGAATATTAGTACGACACCTCATACCACTCGGCAGCAAAGACTACTCACTTCACGAATTTTTATGGGAGAGATCCACCTCACTTGATTCATTATGGGGGCAACACTACATCAGTGTCTAGTGTAGAACAGTACTTAGAAGAGAGGGACATGATACTAGCAGAGCTTAAGGGGCATTTGTTGAGAGCCCAACAATCATGAAAAGGAAGGAGGATGGTCATAGGAGAGGTAAATTTTGAACTGAGGGGCATGTTTTACTTAAAATTAATGCCCTACAAACAAAAAAAACTTTCTCCATGAGAAGGACTGAAAAAACTATCCCCACGATATTTTGGGCCTCATGAGATCTTAGAGTGCATCGGAGTAGTAGCCTGTCGATTAAGGCTACCACCATCCTTAGCTTTGCACCCAATCTTTCATGTATCGCAACTGAGAAAGGCAATAGGGTAACATGCATCATCATCACTATCCCCAACTTTAACAGAGGACATGGAGGTTATATTGGAACCACTGGAAATAGCAGGCGTATGCAGAGGGGAGACGGGGACACAAGAGGTGCTAATCAAGTACAAGGACCTGCCAGTGCATAATGCCACTTGGAAATCATATGTAATCAAGAGACAGTTCTCATCCTTCCATCTTGAGGACAAGGTACATTTTTAGGAGAGGAGTATTGTTACGATCGGTCAAGCAGGACCAGTCCTGCAGCCGGCCTAGCAGTTAGGGGGTAGACCAACTACAGGGGGCGGAAGGGCTAAATTTTTGAACCCCCCCCCTGTGGGACCCAGTAATCCAATTATTTCATATGTTAAGAAGAGGATAAAGAAAGAAATTAATGAAGGGAATTTGAATTCAAAAGAGGGAAGGAATTAATTAAAGCAAGAGAAATTTTTTAGTGCTAAATTGGAGGGAAGAGTAGGGGCTTGTATAGGGATTATTATTTTGTACTAGGGTTATGTTTTCTTTGGAGTTTTCTGCTGTAGTTTCTTCAATGAGGGCTTCCTAGTGGCATCTAGGTTAATTGGGAATGATGATCTACCTCTCTAATTGTTGATCTCTTGTATATTGTTTCTTGTTGAGTTATTCATCAAAATCAACCACTATGTTCTCCAAATTATGCCTATTGTTTTCTGCGGATTTCCTGTTGTGATTTGTTGAATTCGACTCCAAGGTGTGCCAATTTCATCTAGTTCAATTCTCCCCTTTTAAGATAATTTGGCATGGGCATCATCGCAATATTAAATATTTTAATAAAATGTCAGTAAAAGGTAATCTCTATTCCCAATCAAAATTTAGAATATCATAGCTATTTATAGGAGTTGGCCAATCTCTATTTCCTTTGACCTCATCAAGATCAACAAATAATTAATCACTAGACATTAAAAATCCTAATAACATAATACATGGCATAACAAAGCAAATATTATTCAAATTCTAATATAATTTTCCAAATTACAACTTTTCAAAGGATTTCTTAAGATACATTAAAAGTTTTTCCTTTGATTTATTTTAAATCAAAATATCATCTAGGAATACAAATATTTTTTTATCTATAAAAGATTGCTAAAAATAATTTATGATTCTCAAAAAAATGTTGGGGAATTATTTAATTTGAAAGGAATCACTGATTATCTGTATAACCATCCATTGTATCAGAAGCAATCATCCATTTATCTTCTCTCATCCTTACTTGATGGTAACCATTCTGTCTATCAATTTCTATGAAAATCCTAACCCAAATCATGATATTTAGCATATCATCTAATCTTGATATAGGAAATGATACTTGATTTTGATTTTATTAATTTCTTAATTATCCATACTCATTATCCAACCCTTGTTCCTCCTAGGTGCCCGTAAGATGGATTCCACACAAGGATTCAGGCTCTGCCTAATACATAAATCATTTCATCACTATTCATCTACCTATCTTTTTAGTTATCCATATTCAATAGGATTCATCCTATAATAGGGCATCATGTAATGATGAGCTAGTAATCAAATCAATAATCTATTGAAGATCCCTAAGCGGTGGTAAATTCATCAAGTAGTTAACCAGGCCAGTTATTTAAATTCAAATTGTAATTGACTAACATTCTTAAGTATTGATATGTTTTCAATTGTATCAAGATACAATTCAAAAACTATCAAAGCATAAATTATTGCCTTAACCATGTCCCCTTTTTCAAAAGCATCGTTTGATTAAAATATGCAAGGATTTTCCCTTGATTTTTTTAATGCAAAGGACTTTTAGGCATGGTAGGTTTTAAAACAATCCTCCTATCATTGAAATCAAACGCCTAAGTATTTTAATTCCCAGAACGAGTCTCATCCAAACGTTACAATTAAAATCAGCCTAGAATGACATGCAAAATTAGTATATAAGACATCACACTATAGAAAATAATGGGAAACAAAAGGAGACAATAACATGAAAGCATAAGTGGGAGTCGATAACAAGAAAATAGATAGAAATGAAATAGAGAACATCTACAGTGGAAGTGGCATATAATAGATAAATAGAAACAGAGGTGCATGAAAGTGGGCTTAGGAGGATAGCAAAGCAACAGGACCATCAGAAACATACATGCATGACTGATAGCCAACAAGATAAGGTCAGAATGTAAAACCATACCCCAATCAATGAGCTACTCTCGTTTGCAACAATATATAGAAATAAAGTCAACCATGGCACAAACCAACAATATGAAGATATTTAACAAAGAGCGCCATGGTGAATACGGGACATGCCACAAATCTACCAAAAAAATAGAGATATAAACTCAAGACCATTCAACATAGTGAAAAGTGGAAGCATTCTACTAAATCATGAACATCATTATAAGCCTTATCCCAACAATATTGGGGCATTGTGAATCCTCATTTTCTGTTCATTTATATTGAGTGATGTCCAAAGTGTTCAATCTATGCTTCACAAATCATTTAAACAATTTTTATTCAAGTAATCTTAGGTCCATCTACTTTCTTCATAATTCTTTGAAGCTCATATTATCGACTCTCCTAAAGGGTGTATTTTCTACCCTTCTTTGTGCATGCCCAAATCACTTTAGTCTATTTTCAGTCATCTTATGTTCAATAGATATCGCTTGAACATTTATGTGAATAATTATTTACTCATTTATCATTCTTAGGTTTGTCACGAATCCATCATAGCATCTTCATTTCTATATGTTAGGAATTGCTCGTAGAAACCCAATAACCTTTGGCTGAAATTTCAGCACTCCCAAACTCAATCTATAAGAAGAACTAATAGGAAAAATCAAAGAAAACGTTTTTAATTGATGATAGATGGAAGAAAACAACAAGATAAAATGGATCCTTAATTGGAGAGGAGGATCAGGCTCTCACAATTCCCTAGCCACAGGCTCGAGCCCAAAGCACTCTAGAACACTACAATTTCAGCCAAAATAATACATAACATAACCTAGGTTTAACAAAACTACTTAAAGCATACAATATCTAGCAAAATGCCCAAAACAGCCCTCCAAATTGAATTTTCCTCCTAAACCGCCCCCTCCATTCTCTTCATGAAGCCGTGAACCCCACCTCAAGGGAAAAATGGAAGGCTGCTAGGCAGACAAGCTTCCGTCTGGAGTAAACAAGGGCCGGTCCCTCCTAGACCGGTCTAACACTACCATACTCAGCTAAGATAATATTGAAATCTAGTTTTGGCACCATTCTAGTTAAAACTAATCAAATAGTGAAGTGAATGTTAGCATTGAAAGAGAATTAATTCTGACATAAAAAAAGAACAAAAGCATAAGAGCAGCATATTTCCTAAACTCCGTAGCATAGAGTGAAAAGAATTTGCAACCAGTTAACAATTATTATTGGTACTTTTGATTGTATGAGATGACCAGTTAAACCATATAACTAGTTAATGATTAACAATTATGACTGGTTAATTAGATTTTTAACTTAGTTAACCGTTAACAGTTATGATTTCAGCTCGATAAGATAAAGAAGAATAAGGGTGAATTACTACATTGATTTTGCATTTTTCATGCTTTAACCGCTTATAAATCTACACAATCAAGTAAAATTGAATGTGAAAATTTAAAAAAAAAATAATAATGCAAAGGCAAAGTACTCACATCATCCAACAACACATCTGAGTCAGAGTTTTCACCCTCTGTGGTTGCTTGAGTTAAAGCATGATTTCCTTGACCTTTGGTTGCATCCAATACAATACCATTTTTTTCAAGAGGGGCATTTAAATGACTTCTTTTTGAACCATTATCAAATGGTTTTTCACGATCAGTGACTGTTCTAGTTTCTTGGCACAACTCATCAATCTTACCAGAAGAAAATCCGCTTCTCATCCTACATGGTGTAGAAACTTCATGGTTTGGAAAGGCACTAGATTTGAGTTCAGAAGAACCAGCAGTCACTGATGCAAATGATGATTCAACATTATCCAATTCTGCTCGTCTAACGCTTTCTTCTGGAGAAACATCACATTCAGATGACGGAAATTGTGATTTGACAAAAGAAACTGTATTGACAGAAGCAGAATTACAATTATTATCCAGTAAAGATGCATCCCCAGTTGCAGTCAACTTGCTTTCAATAGAGTGGTTCTGTCGAGTTTCATTGTAATGGTTACCATCGCCACCTTCATTTTGAATGGCTCTGTCATTAATTTCAAAAGAACTATGGATCGTCATATTACTACATTCCATGTCTTTTTTCTCAACGTCTACAACATAGCCAGGGACTGCAACATTTGCATCTCTAACCTCGGATGTATATAAGAGGTTATCCCCATGGCATTCTAATGCACTCTGCTCTTCACCTTGCCCTGAGGAAAATCCGTGCCCCAAATGAGCTGAAGTGTTACTATGTGAATTAATCTGACCATGGCCAGGCTTCTTCTCAAGGGGTCGCTCCTCTTCAACAAATTCACGAGAACACACATCTTGAGGCATGTCAACATAATCAGATGCATCATATACAGTAGAGGTCCTGAAATTTGCTTTGCTATCAGCATTCTCAAAGCACGAGTCATGACTGGAAGTTGTACTTAATAAGTTACTAGTTTCACTAGCTACATGCCGCAAATCATCGCAAATTCTGCTTTTGCAACTTGGCATACCACCCAAATTAATAACAGAAGAACTATCAGCTTCTTCTCCCCTAACACAGATGACACCAGAAAAGCCACTCTCATTCTTTATGGCAGATATAGAGCGATTATAGTGCATGCACGATGAGCAGGGAGCTGAACACACATTGCATGTTCCAGATTCAATCATCATTCTTGTAAAGCCTTAAGTAACCATAAATTTCTTCTCATCCATAAAGACACCCTATTACATTAGAGAATCATAACAGCAGCAAAACGCAAATTACAATTAATCTGTAAAGAATTGCAGCGTCGCCCCAGCTTATTAAGCAAAGCAGTACAGCACCACAACATTTATTTGGCCACCTGAAAGCACCAGCATGCTCATTAAATTTCATTAACTCTTATACATTGTTTCAGAATCTCTAACTAATTTTACTCCCACTAGAAAGCGCAACACAAGGAAAGGCACAAAAACTAAGAAAATCTAACAATCTAATTAAGTATAATAAGACAAACATCATCAAAAGCTGCAACAAGAGATAAAACATTTGAAATTTCAATCGGGCTTAGACCTTAGAACGGCAATTCCTTCAGCAACAGATCCAAGATACAATATTGTACAGTATTACAGTTACAGTAGTGAAAACAGAAACATCTACAATTATATGAATCATATCAAAAGGACATGCTTGAACATAAATATGAGTTATTGTCTTATTGAGGATTTTGACACTTTTTGTAATAAATAGCAATAGATGAAGTTAGAGTTGTTAATGACCCAATCTCAAGCTGATCTGGCTTTGGCTTAAAATTAGCTCAAAATCATTTGGCCTGATCTAGCACCGAGCCAAGTTGGTTTACAAGATGGCTTAATGCCATCTCGATTTAAGTTAGGCGGCTCGTTAAATTTGATTTTTGCTTGATTCAAGTCCATAACAAAGAAAATTTTGATCAATATTTTATCTCCTGTATTTATTATATATAAATAAATAGGTGTATGTATTCATTAATGCAAATTTCAATGGGTACATTAATTTATGTGAATATGAATTCCTACACATCAGATACGATCTCGAGCTAGATCGATCTAATCCAAGCTTGGCTAAACTCAAATTTGATACAAGCATGACTGGGCTCATAATCGGCACAAAGTCCAAGCCCAAACAAGATTTGAATTTTGAGCCATCTTAAATCTTCTAGCCAAATTCCCAGACACAGAAAATTCATGTCCTGATCATCTCAAGAAAAAACAACTCAATGACGGCCAAAGAAGAAAAATTATACTGATAATACCTTTTAAGTTCTGAAATAGAAGTATCCGTATCAATCATTCAGAACATGCTTGCTACAATGATAAATAAGTCAAGAAAAAGCACATGAAGTTTTATCATACATGGCCATTTATACTCTTAATGAGGCGTGAAAGTTCTCCACTATGAACAAAATAATAATCAAATTTGACGAGTGTCAATTTGCAATAAATAAAATCAAGTATGTCACCCAAATCATTGCTTCTGAATTAGCTAAACGAATAAATGAAAAGATGTTTAACACTAGAGACAATTAAAAAAAAAACCGCTAGAAATTATCTTTCTGATCCTATAAAAGACGCTTACAGAATCAGTCTGCAGAAGTTAAAGGTCTGAAACATCCACAGGTCCTTGGATGCGATATCTCCCCTTCAAAATAGGTGTAATCTGAAAATTCAATAATAAACCAAGTCAGAAAATATGAGAGCAAGCAAAAAAATTCCAAGAGTCGCTTGGAACAAAAATACAAAAGAGCGCAGTTAAGTGGCCGCTCCAGAACCTTAGGGACCCAATAGCGCCAAGCGCAGAGCGCAACAAGCATACATGTGTATTAACTACTTGACAAAACATGCACGCAAAAACTAGCACCCAAAATCATCAAAGCCTTAAAACAAAGCACACAACTAGTCTTCCTGGGGAACTGAAATTACAATTAAAAAAATAAAACAGTTTTCTCGCACTCCCGGAAATCCTCGCTTCTACACTGGAATAAATTGGAGGAAGATGTTGACTAGCACACGTGAAATTAAAACAAAAAGTAAAAATACAAAAACAAATTGATCCCTTGCTAAAACTCAGCAGACCGTTCGCATCCAACAACTACAACCCAGTCGATTCGAGCAAAGGGAGTGATAGAATGGAGCGGAAGCAAATGATGGTTTAAGCCTTAAAAATCGGAAAACCAAAAGCGGCAAACCCTAATCAGACGAAACAAAGACGATAGCTTTACATGCCTCCGATTCCAAGCTCCTCCGTGAGATCACAAAGTGTGCAGTGTCCGCGCCACGCCCCCTCATCACTAAACCCACTGAGCAGTTTCCTTCAATCGGACAAATGCCAGAAAAGCCTATAGCAAATCGCCTTCTCTCAAACTAGAGTTTTGCGGTCAAGAGCCGAAGCCAAATTCGATCGGAAAAAAAAAACAAAAGCGGAAAAGGGGAAGTCGTGAGCTTCCAAGCGCTGAAAAGAGGTTTCAGCGTTTGCCGGATTTGAACGGATCTGATGCGAGGGTCGATTCACCAAGGAGAATGGCCGATACAATTCATAAGAAGACAGCGAACATGCGTGGGGTGAGCAAGAACCCTTTCTCTCTCTCGTTTCCAGTTTTGTGATTTTTCTCCATAAAACTGCAAATGACCAATCACGAGAAAAAAAATTGGAGGAAGAAAGACTTTTTCAGCATTCACCTTACAAGAAAAAACTACATCCATATTTATTCGGATTTTGGGTTCAGGATTTCTCTATCGAAAATTAATTATAAAATAAATATTAATATGTATATTTTAGTATTTTACCTCAAGATAAAATAAATAATTCTGAATTCATCATAATTGAAAATTCGAGCAAATATTCTTTAATTTTTTTTTCATTTGAATGAATATGAATTTCAAACTAATTTAATTTTGATTAAATTTAATTAGATTTAGATGCATATCACTCAATGTTCATGTTTTTATATATTTAATCTATATATACAGATAAATTAATATTAAAATTAAGAAATTATAGGAATTAAAATAAAATGTTTGATATATAAATGTGATAAGAAAATACTCTCAAACTTACAATAAAATTCTATAAGATTGTATTAATACCTTTAATACTTTTATGACTGCAAAATATTGGTCATTAAAAGAGAAGTATAAATTTAAGTATTACAAAGATGAAGATGCTCTAGCGGATGAGTGGCTTTTCATTTAGAGATATAATTCAAAACGAGTATATATGTGAAAAGATTGGAGTAGCTCCGGTGGCACATAATTTTAGAGAGAGTCTCTTTAGATGGACTAGTCAGATAAAATGTTGGTCTTCTGATGATCCATATATGAGAGTAGATGTATTAGATCTGATCTATGTTAATAAAGTTAGAAGTATGCGTAAAAGGACTTGGTTATAAAGTATTAGAAATGACCTTTGTTTATTAGATTTAAATGAGAATTTGACTATTAATATGACGAAATAGATAAAAAGAATTCATGTAGTTGATCCCACATTATGTTGTTATTGTTAAATATATAAATGTATTAAAAATAGTAATATGTATATAGTCAATTAAAATTTACATGCATCCTCTCAAAATAAATACAATAAATAAAAAATTCTTATTATTGCGTCCTGGAATATTCGTGGCAGTAGAGAAAAATAAAATTTAACGTCATAGCTTTGTACGAAGATCCATCACACAATCAAATAAGATAGAGGGTATAATATTCATAAGAGACACCAAGATTTTTACGTGGAAAACCTTGAAAACAGGAAAACCTATGGGGCATGGCCCGATTTAAATAAATCCACTATTATTTGCAGTCGATTACAAATGAGGCCCCTCATTAGGCCAAGGCCTTGGCTTGATGTAATAAATATACATCATATGGAGTGCATTTTATGGTAGGAATATGAAGAATCACTTGGCATGCTTGTTTGGTCATAAGGATCTTTGTTAGCGAACAACGGAGGTCGGAAGATTGTAGTCGGTGGGCGAAGGAGGTCGGAAGGACCGTAGTCGGTGGGCGATGGAGGTCGGAAGGACCGTAGTCGGTAGGCGATGGAGGTCGAAAGGACCATAGTCAGAGGGAAACGAAGGTCGGAAGGACCATAGTCGATGGGCGAAGGAGGTCATAAAAACCACTATCTGGCGACGGAGGTTGGAAGGACCATAGCCGGTGGGCGACTGAGGTCATAAAGGTTGTTTTCTGGCGAAGGAGGTCGGAAGGACCGTAGTCGATGGGCAAAGAAGGTCGGAAGGACCGTAGTCGATGGGCAAAGAAGGTCGGAAGGACCGTAGTCGGTGGGCAAAGAAGGTCAGAAGGACCTTTAGTCTGTGGGCGACAGAGGTCATAAAGGCTGTTATCTGGAGACGGAGCTCGAAAGAACTGTAGTTGGTGGGCGACGGAGGTCATAAAGGTTGTTGTCTAGCGACGGATATATGAAGGATCATAGTTGGAGGGCGACAGAGGTCATAAAGACTGTCGTATTGCGATAGAGGTCATAAAGACTGTCGTCTAGCGATAGAGGTCGACAGGATCGTTGTCAGGTGAAAATCCAATAATAATTGGAAGTCGGGTGGAAGACCGGTGTCAATCGACAGTCGAGTGCAAGTCTGGGCATTAGTGGGTGAGCATGCAGAAGTCCCGACGTCAATCAGTGGTACAACATAAGTCCAGGTGTCAGTCGGTGGTCCGATAGAAGTTCAGGCTTCAGTCGGTGGCTGGGCATAAATATGATGTTAGTTGGTTGCCCGACATAGATCTGGCGTTAGTGAGTGGTTTGACAGAAGTCTGAGCGTCAGTCGGTAGTTCTGCAGAAGTCCGACCGTCAGTCAGTGGTCTATTTATAATCTCTTTATTTTGCTTCCTTGCTTGGGCTCCCCCTTCATAAGAAGTTAGGGGTCTATTTATAGATTTTTTAGAGTGGTATGACCCATAAATAGGAGTAAGACCATATGTGAATTGGAAGTGGTTTGAATGGACAGCCGATGTTGAATATCTTAATCGTGAACTGTTTACTAGACATTTGAATGTCTAAATGACATCAGAATTTGATGATCTTGGGCTTGTTGGATTCGTCTCATTGAGCCGCTCAATTCGACTATAAGCATGTCACGTTTGAAAACTATTTTGAAAAATCTAAATTAGGGATTGAACCTTCCAAATGCACTTTGAGTCATTGATTTGGACTCATTGGGCTCGGATTGAGTCGAAGTTGGTGTCGTTGGATTCGTATTTCTGAGACATTCTGTTTGCTTTAAGTTTGTTGAAATCGGAGTTCAGATAGTCCTAGATTTAATTTTTGAAGTTTCAAACTTGATTTTGCCTTGAGATTCATGCCCAAATCAACGTACATTATAAGAGATTCTGTTGCAGCTTGGCATAACAGAACTTCACAAACTTCATCATCCTCAACTTCCGAAGCGACATACTCATTTCCAACAGGCACCCGACATACTAACTTTACAGAATACTTTGAAGGATCGTACTTCAGTGCTCTAAGTATCCTAAATTTAAGCTGTTCTAAGTTGCAATTTCTTGGCACATGTAGGGGTCGACTCCTACCCCCAAAATAGCTTGGCGTGAAATTGGTGTCCACTTTTAATTCACCTCCATACATAAGCACAAAGGTCGCACCACGTCCACTCATTATTGAACTCGTACGTATCACTATGCAAAATAAACAAATTACAAAATACTTAATATTTTAATTATTCTAAAGACTGCTAAAATATAATTAAAATTCATTTAATTTTACAAGTATGATAAGACTTCATTACAATTTAGCTCTTACAAAAATTATTTTAAAGAATTATAACTTAAACAAATAATTATTATATATTAACAAAAATATAGCTTCTCAATTTATAGCAATATACAAAGACTAATTCGTTAGATCTACCAAGTTTTAACAAAATCTATGTTCTATATCAACTTATCTCTAGTTCTGTCAAACAATATTATAACTAACTCTAGCAAAATTAGACAAACTAATAGATCTACCAAAAAAATTCATAAATAAACTAAAAAGACTCAAATAGGATCATTTTTAACCAAATTTGTACAACACCGATGGCGAGATCAGCGACTAAACATAATAAACCGCAAATACTAAAAATAAAACCTTACCTAAACACTTGATGGCGAGATCGGCGACTCCGAACTTCCCTATGGCGACGGCTGCAGAAGGGGAAAGCAAAGGAAATGAGATCGGGAAGGATTTTGGGAATTAAAGTAGTAGCATAAAGTCGTCCGTTAATTGGGCGACTTATAAGTCGCCCGTTAAACGGGCGACTTATAAGTCGCCACATCATCACCACGTCGGATCTTGACTATTCTAGTCAAAGCATAAGTCGCCCGTTTAACGGACGACTTTGCCTATTTTTAAATTTTTTTTTAAACATGCTTAAACTCTTAATATAATTTATAATCATACTTAGTCTTAAATTTTTCCCTTTAACTTTTTGTAGATCACTGCAACCCAAGCAACTTCTGCAAAAAGCTATAAAGCAAATAAAAAACCTCATTTATCGAGAAGCCAACCAGCAAAGCAACCCCACACCAGTAAAATCCAACTAAGCTCTCTTTCACTTAAAGCAATCCAGAATACTAACTATACTTCCTGCCCTGCTTCGCCTCCTTTCAAGCTTCACCTTCACCTACCCCTACCTTTACTCCTTCCTATATATCTCCTGCCTCATACACGCCAACAACACACAAAAACACAAGGAAATAAAAATGGCGCAAAGCAGGGTGCTTGTGGTGGGTGGCACAGGATACCTGGGGAGAAGAATAGTGAAGGCAAGCATAGCAGAAGGGCACCCAACCTTTGTGCTCCATCGGCCGGAGATCGGCACCGATATAGAGAAGGTTCAGCTTCTGCTTTCTTTCAAGGAGCAAGGTGCCAGACTCGTTGAGGGATCTTTCGGAAATCATCGGAGCCTCGTCGACGCCATCAGGCAAGTTGACGTCGTCATATGCGCCATCTCCGGCGTGCATATAAGGAGCCATCAAATCCTCCTCCAGCTCGTGCTTGTTGACGCCATCAAAGAGGCAGGCAACATCAAGGTGGTTAGCTTTCTCTATTCAGTTTTCTATGAACATATATGTTATGACATTTAATGCGATGATGAGAAATTATCGTCGAAAGGCTGTTTTTGGTGCAGTTTCAAACTGTTTTCTGAAAGTGGCTTTTCTTTCCCCCAAAAAAAAAGTGGCTTTTCTAAACGTGGATGTCGGGAAAAATAATTCAGTAATTTTTATTTAAGTGAGAGCAAAAGTTTTTTGCAATTTCAATTTTTTTTTGGTTGGCAAGATTAAAGTTAGTTAAATCTGGAATTATTTTTGACAGTTCAAGGCCATAATGGAAGCAGATCTCCAACTTTTTTTATGATAAGAAAATAGTTAGTAAAAGAATAAGGTGTCTTTGTTAGGGCAAATTATTTCGTCCGGTCATTAGACCTAGAAATAGGTCCGGATATCCTCTAAAAATTTGACGTGTGGAATGTACACGTGTCTGTGGAATTTTAAGTCAAGTGCGTCAAAAGCGCAGTCAAAGCGCACCCAAAGCGTATCTAAAACGTACAGTCAAAGCACACAATCAAAATGTGGTCCACGTGGCAACTTTTTAGTGGATGTCCGGACCTAGAAATAAAACTAGATCATTTTTTATCTTTTTTTAAATTTTTCTTTTAAAAGCATGTCTGGACCGGATTTGAATTTCTAAGAAGTTTATAAAACTAGATCGGATTTGGGTCAAATAAATTGAACCAGGTCAATTATGAGTTTGATTAGAATCCGACCCGATAAACTTTTTACACCCCTACTTCCAAAAACACATAACTTTTTTATAATTATTTTTCTTACAAGAAAAGCAATTGAAAATTTATTCCAAACCAAATCTAAAGTGCGACCTTCACTATAATGGAGTGCTTCTATCTAGAAATTATGTTCAAACTTCATTGAATAAATTTATTTAAAAAAAATAATTTTATGAACTATATAAAAGGGGATAGCAATATAAGAAGTGGGAAGATTGTATTATTTAAAATTGATGATAGTAATCTTATTATTGGAGCATTTTCGTGGGGATTATGATGAGATAAGAGTGGTAGAAGAGAAATATTTGATTAATAATATTCTATACAATAACACACTAAAAGCATGTATGTAATTAGTTCAATTTTCTTTTTAAGATAAAATCGACATACCATTGATATACCTATAGCATAAATATTCATGGAGAACAAAATCATGAATTTAGGATTTTTTTTATGGAGTAAAATAAAAGAAATTAGTTTAATACATATTAAATATCAAAATTAAAATAAAATTTTAATTTTTCTCTAAGGATAATAAAAAATAACCAAACAATTTATAGTTGTCACATTAGCGTAATTCATCAGTTTAACGAGCGACTTGTTCTTCGCGTCAGCAACCAGTCGCCTATTAATTAAATGACCGACAAATTCTTTTTAAAATTTTAAAATTTTAATTATGTATTTTAAAATTTATCCTTTTTTCAAGGCTAAAGTCAAATTATTTAATTGCATCCTTTATTTTGTTTAACTTCTCTAACTTCAAAAAATGAACGAGGAATAAGAAAAAAAAAATGAAGTGACCCTTCCTATTTTGACAGAGGTTCTTGCCCTCCGAGTTTGGGACAGACCCAGCAAGAATGGGGCATGCTTTAGCTCCAGGGAGAGTCACATTTGATGACAAGATGGTGGTAAGGAAGGCTATAGAGGAAGCAAATATCCCCTTCACATATATCTCTGCTAACTGCTTCATGGGGTACTTCGTTGGTGGCCTCTGCCAACCAGGAAAGATAATCCCTTCAACTGAAAGCGTGTGCTTGCATGGAGATGGCAATGTTAAAGGTAATTATGCCTCGCTCTGCTTCAACTAATTATCATATATAATCAGGTCCTGATGATGGGAGATATATTTATATACACTACTGTACTCAAAATTATTAGATTTATATATTTATCACATAAATTTCGCTGTATACATAACATGCATGGTAGTATTTTAACTCCATTAATGAAACTCTCGACAATGAAGAAAAAGTCGAGGCGGATCTCATTGGGCACAAGGAAGTAACAAAAGGATCACGCTGGGAATGGCATACAACCTATCTCTATCTCTTTTCTTTTTTTCTCACTACAAAAAACCTGTCATTATCGTTAGAACAATTTTTGCCGGTGTTGCACTGGAAAGAGATAATTTCCGGCGGATTTCTAGTGTTACCGGCGGATTTTAACAGCACATTTTTACTGTAGTACCAAGGGCGGAACTCTATATAACCTAGGGGGGGCAATTGCCCCCCCTCAAAATTTTTTTTTTAACTTAAAGGAGAGTAAAAAATTCATTTTGCCCCTCCTAAAAAAGATCCTAAATCTAATTCAACTTCTGATCACATTGAAGAGCACATTTTTACTGTAGTACTATCTCAATCTTATATGAGCCTTTATAGATCCTAAATCTAATTCAACTTCTGATCACATTGAAGAGCCGTTTATTTCTTATTGCTGGATTCATTAATGTGTCACAGCCATTTATGTCGATGAAGACGACATCGCACTGTACACAATCAAGACGATCGATGACCGCCGCACACTAAACAAAACTATTTACATCAGACCACCACAAAACATACTCTCGCAGAGAGAAGTAGTCATGGCATGGGAGGAGCTCATTGGTAAGGAGCTTGAGAAGACCAGCATTTCAGAAGAGGAGTTTCTCTCCATTATCAAAGGTGAATGACAGTAACCTCTCATTTCAAACCTTTCAGGTTGTGAAATAGTTGAAACTAGAAAGCATTTTGTTCTTGTATTAGTATACATAGATGGCCACTATTGTTTGTTTTCATGATTGCAGAGCAGGAGTTTGCACAGCAGGTGGGATTGGGACACTACTATCATGTATGTTATGAGGGCTGCTTGACCAATTTCGAGATAGACGAGGAGGAGGAGGCATCTCATTTGTATCCAGAGGTTGCTTATACTCGAGTCAAAGATTATCTCCGGCGTTATGTGTGATTCTGCAGCTACGAATTGGACTTTAAGTCATGGGTTTTGAGTGGTAATAATTCACTGGACTTGGATGAACATTTTATGGCAAAAACATTACTTGCATTTGAGGCCATTTTATTTTATTTTATTTTATTTATATATTTATGTGAAATAAAAACTTCTTGGCATTTTTTTTTTAAACCCACGGCGGGGCCTACGCGTTAATATAAAAAAGCGGTTACAAAGTCCTTAATAGGAACCTTCAGCTTTCTAATGCTCGACTGAGCTACAAGATCAAAAAGAAAAAAACATCTGAGCCGATGGTTCCTAATTCTAACAGTTACAAAAAAACCTAATAACATTCTAGGGCTGGAAGACGACAGCACCCAAAAAAGAAGATAAGATAAAGAATGAACACGATCTTCCTGGCAAAATTGTGGTAGAAGGCCACTAGAACCCAAAAATTGGAGCATAAAAGAGTTGACGACCCTAGTAAAGAGTTGATAAAAACTTCTTGGCATATATATATGATGTGGTGGTGGCAGTTGATGGTGGGGGCAATGAAGTGGATGAAGAAGTGCAGTTAGCGTTGGTGGCAACAGTGGTGGTAGAGGTTGGTAGCGTTACAGGCGGTAAAAGTTATATTTAAAAGCATTAAAAACATCTATAATTAATTTTTGATATTTTTTAAAATAACTTGAATTACTAAAAAATAAAAAATAAATAAATCACATGAAAATAAGTATTCAAAAAGTAAAAACAAAAATTACCCTGAATAGCCCTCACGTAATAGAAATGATTCATGTGGAATGACATCATGCCAAGCCAAGGCAGGCTAAATGGAGATGATTTTGACACTTGTCTATTTTTATGGAACAAAGAAATTTAATTAAAATATTTAGAAATAACATTTAGGAATCAAACAAACAAAGTAGAAAATCCTTAAAAATAAGAGAAAATTAAAAATAAATTTAAATTAATTAGAAGCATTTGTAGACCATTTATGTACGAGAAATTTAGCTTGATGGCTAAGTTGTAAGTACTAATTCTTAAAATAATAACCTAACTTATCTTGCATTGCATAGAGATCTTAATTGCATGGGTTTGAAGTGATTTGGTGAGCTTAGCTTACCGTTATCTCTATGTAAAATTGCATGTCCAAAAATGTTTGACTTTCCTAAACCCTTGGGGGGTGAAAATTATAATTCACATGGCATTTTTTTTAGATATGGGTTTTAGTTACTACTTCGTAACACTCACTTTAGTTCTAAGGTCTGAGGCTGATTTGTTGCATAAAAAATCCTATGGTTGATGAAATGTAAGCTCCAAATTTTTTAAATCCCAACTTCAAAACTTTAAAGCCCAATGTAGAATAGTTTTGAATACTATTAAACTTCTGAGAATCCAATGCTTGCTACTTTTGTTCCTTTGGCTTCTAAAAAAGAACAATTCCAATTTGAGTCAAACCCATTTGACATTCCAAAAGAATATTATTTGCCGCTACTTTAATTGAGAATATTATCATGAGATTCATCTCACTTATGATATAATTAATCATAAGAAGGCATTAAATCAACAATAATAAGGCCAAAAGAGCATAACCCCATTCGGGAATAGTGCAGCCAAAAGTCTATGACTAAGTAAAAAAATAAGCCTATCCAAAAAAGAGCATTACTATACAAGGGCAAGAGTTAGGCCTAAAGAGTATGAACAAATGAATAAGAGACTTAGAGGTTATTTGGTTTGAAGTAGAATGGGTGAAAAAAATTTTAAATGCAAGAGTTAGGAGAATATTGATGTTTGGTTTGAAGTAAATAAAATATAATGTAAAGTTTTAGTGTATTTGGAATTCATCCTTTAGTTCATTTTTAGCATATTTGAAATTTCTTCGATTTGGGCGATTTTCAAATATACTAGAACTTCATTGTTTGACACAACCACCGTAAATCGCTACCACCGCCAGCCGCCATCGATTGCCGCCACTGCTAACCACCTTCGGCCACCACCGCCAGTCATGCCTGACTACAACCATTGCAAGCCATCGCCGATCACCATCACCATCAACCATCACCGAATGCCATCGTAGCCCATTTAGATGACCGCCTGCCACCACCATCGACAATCATATCTTTGGACTTATACATTGCATTCGTTGTACTTCATGCCAAAGAAAAAAAAAGTAATTCTCTGCATTTATTTTACACTCATCTAAATAACTCCAAAATATTTCGATTCCATTACTTTTATATTGTACTTATTTTACACTACATTCATTATTCAACTGACAAACAATCCTAATCATAAGAGCTTGACTAGATTAGTAATAATACAACTAAAATGTCATGACTATATAGGAGTACACTAGGCTAAAGTGAAAGACCAAATCAATTATATTTTCAAGCCAAAAGAGTATGATTAGGAGGATGCAGAATATAATCAAAAGGGCATGACTATAAAGTGATAAACCTAGCCGAAAGTTAACTAATCATCTAAGGCTGACTTAAGGTTACCTTGCTTTGATCAGGACACCATTCATGCGTATAAAGTGTTTTAGATTGGGTTTTTTTAAGGTTGTGAAAATGGGAGCATATATGAAACTAAAATAATGAGAGGTTCAATATTCAGTACAAGAAGAGTTGATTTGTGAATTGCATCGAAAGACATAAATATTAATTATTTAAATATGATCTAAATGATGTGAAAATGATATGGTAATATTGTAATACTGCAAAATTATGACAAAAGTAAACAAATTGAATTACACAATGACTTTACAAGCGCATTTTTCTAATTGTATATATATGAAAAAAAAAAATCAACAATAATTGTATGTTGAGCTTCTTTAGTAAAAAAATCCATTTTGCAAAAGAAATTTAAAGTTCATCAATTTTACATGATGTTTGAGCGACGATCAATGAATCAATAGAGCACTGAAGGAGGTGCAATGACTAATGATCATACTATGGGTGTAAGTGAGCCGAGCCTACTCACGAGCCGGCTTAAACACGAGCGAGCCGGCTCAAACACAACTTGTTTATAGGCTCGCGACTGAGCTTATCTAGCTCACGAGTTGTGCTCGAGCTTGAACGCGAGCTCGCTTAGTCAAGCTTGAGCTTGACGAGGCTCGGCTGGTGAGCTTGTGAGCCAGCTAGAACTACAATTTTAATGGCTTTAGAAGCACATTTTTTCTAATTGTATCCATATGAAAAAAAAAATTCAACAATAATTGTATGTTGAGCTTCTTTAGTCAAAAATCCATTTTGCAAAAGAAATTTAAAGTTCATCAATTTTACATGATGTTTGAGCGATGATCAATGAATCAAAAGAGCAATGAAAGAGGTGCAATGACTAATGATCATACTATGGGTGTAAGTGAACCGAGCCTACTCACGAGCCGGCTCAAATACGACTTGTTTATAGGCTCGTGATTCGAGCTTATCACGCTCACGAGTCGTGCTCGAGCTTGAACACGAGCTCGCTTAGGCAAGTTTGAGCTTGATGAGGCTCGGCTAGTGAGCTCGCGAGCCGGCTCGAACTACAATTTTTTTTTTTAAATAATAATATTTTCAAGCATATTTAAAAGTTTTTTTAAAATCAAGTTAAAATCTTCAACATCGGCATAATAAAAAAAATCTCCAATACCAACTACGAAGGCTAATAAATGCTGCAGCTTTCAAAACATTGCCAAAATCAGCACGATTACTAAAACAATGAAACTTTCAATACGTATGAAGATGTGACATTCTAATAAATGATGTGACATGCTAATAAATACTAAATGACGTGGCATGCTAATAAATGAAACTTTCTATATATAATTATAAAGATGTGACATGCTAATAAATGTTGTAGGCTCTTGAGCTCACGCCATTGGCCATTACAAAATGGCATCATTCTTCGCTTGAGTTCTGCATCGGCTCTCCACAAGTGCGAGAAACGGACCGGGAAAAAAATATGGGCTCGAAACTGACGCAGGCTAGCACGAGCAGCTCAATTAGCTCAATAAAGTATCACGAGCTCGCTTTCCGACTAACGAGCTGAGCTCAATAGTGCTAAAATTCGACTCATCTACACCCCTGGATCATACTATGTTTGGTGAACTACCATTAAGGGAGGGTGTCAACTGATGAAAGGTAAATGATCAGCAAATAGCAAATGAAAAATGCTAAATGCAACGAGAATTAATGAGCCACATGCAAAAGCCAGAGAAGGGATTTTGAGGGCTAGGATTTTGTATTGTGGGTATACTATATTACATAATTAATTTATTTAAATGGGTTATTTTTTGCACTTACATCTAAAATTGGTGGTGATTATCAAATAAAATTGGGAAACAAGTAGTTCTATAAAATCAAGATTGATTAGTTTGCTCGCTGATTAAACTATCAGTATACATAAAAGGCAAATTAGCCTAGTCATAAGACTGGTTGATGGATAAATTAGTCAGACCAGCCAATTCGTTCTAGTTTTAATTCCAAGGGAATTTTGCTACATGAAAATATAACCAAATCAAATAAAATTTGATTTTGACTCTTTTGGATTTATTAAAATAAATTTGGGAATTTATAAAAAATTCCTAAGATAATTATGAAACCAAAGTCTAATATACTGAAAATGCCTTGAAATTTTTTATATTTTAGAATTTGATACTTAAAAATTCAAATTGAATGTTTTGAAGTTTTGAAAAGGTCAACTCATTGTGTTTGTTAAAGTCAAATGTAAAATCTTATTGTTAATAAAGTGAGTAATTAAAGAAATTAGAGATTAATTGAAAAAATTATTTAGGTAATTAGCCCAAATATCAAGACCATTTTGAATATTATTTAAAAATTTTAATATTTAACACCAACGAGGTTAAAATTATGAAAATTATCAAATTAATCAATAAAATTCTATAAATTTTGGCGATGTGTGGCATTTATCTGTTAACTTTAAAATGATCAATTGAGATATGAAAAAATAGTTAAAAATATGTAGTTTTCATTAAAAATTTGTTAAAGATACAAAAAAGAATGAAAAAATGCTTGAAAATTGATTTTTAAAATATAATCATTTTTTAGAAAATTTAAAAGTTTTTTTTTTTTTTTTTTGAAGTTGGAAAATTGAAAAATTAGGCTTTAAAACTTGAAAAAATTGACCAATTCACATATCACTCAAATTGATGTTTTTGAGAAACTCCAA